TCCGTGAGGCTGTATGGGGTTAACTCCAGGATCACCGCAAGGTTCTGTGAGGCTGTATGGGGTTAACTCCAGGATCACCGCAAGGTTCCGTGAGGCTGTATGGGGTTAACTCCAGGATCACCGCAAGGTTCTGTGAGGCTGTATGGGTTTAACCCCAGGATCACCGCAAGGTTCTGTAAGGCTGTATGGGGTTAACTCCAGGATCACCGCAAGGTTCTGTGAGGCTGTATGGGTTTAACCCCAGGATCACCGCAAGGTTCTGTGAGGCTGTATGGGGTTAACTCCAGGATCACCGCAAGGTTCTGTGAGGCTGTATGGGGTTAACTCCAGGATCACCGCAAGGTTCTGTGCGGCTGTATGGGGTTAACTCCAGGATCACCGCAAGGTTCTGTGAGGCTGTATGGGGTTAACTCCAGGATCATCACAAGGTTCTGTGCGGCTGTATGGGGTTAACTCCAGGATCACCGCAAGGTTCTGTGCGGCTGTATGGGGTTAACTCCAGGATCACCGCAAGGTTCTGTGAGGCTGTATGGGGTTAACTCCAGGATCACCGCAAGGTTCTGTGAGGCTGTATGGGGTTAACTCCAGGATCACCGCAAGGTTCTGTAAGGCTGTATGGGGTTAACTCCAGGATCACCACAAGGTTCTGTGAGCCTGTATGGGGTTAACTCCAGGATCATCACAAGGTTCTGTGCGGCTGTATGGGGTTAACTCCAGGATCACCGCAAGGTTCTGTGCGGCTGTATGGGGTTAACTCCAGGATCACCGCAAGGTTCTGTGAGGCTGTATGGGGTTAACTCCAGGATCACCGCAAGGTTCTGTGCGGCTGTATGGGGTTAACTCCAGGATCATCACAAGGTTCTGTAAGGCTGTATGGGGTTAACTCTAGGATCACCACAAGGTTCTGTGAGGCTGTATGGGGTTAACTCCAGGATCATCACAAGGTTCTGTGCGGCTGTATGGGGTTAACTCCAGGATCACCGCAAGGTTCTGTGCGGCTGTATGGGGTTAACTCCAGGATCACCGCAAGGTTCTGTGAGGCTGTATGGGGTTAACTCCAGGATCACCGCAAGGTTCTGTGAGGCTGTATGGGGTTAACTCCAGGATCATCACAAGGTTCTGTGAGGCTGTATGGGGTTAACTCCAGGATCACCGCAAGGTTCTGTGAGGCTGTATGGGGTTAACTCCAGGATCACCGCAAGGTTCTGTGCGGCTGTATGGGGTTAACTCCAGGATCACCACAAGGTTCTGTGAGGCTGTATGGGGTTAACTCCAGGATCATCACAAGGTTCTGTGCGGCTGTATGGGGTTAACTCCAGGATCACCGCAAGGTTCTGTGCGGCTGTATGGGGTTAACTCCAGGATCACCGCAAGGTTCTGTGAGGCTGTATGGGGTTAACTCCAGGATCACCGCAAGGTTCTGTGAGGCTGTATGGGGTTAACTCCAGGATCACCACAAGGTTCTGTGAGGCTGTATGGGGTTAACTCCAGGATCATCACAAGGTTCTGTGCGGCTGTATGGGGTTAACTCCAGGATCACCGCAAGGTTCTGTGCGGCTGTATGGGGTTAACTCCAGGATCACCGCAAGGTTCTGTGAGGCTGTATGGGGTTAACTCCAGGATCACCGCAAGGTTCTGTGAGGCTGTATGGGGTTAACTCCAGGATCACCGCAAGGTTCTGTGCGGCTGTATGGGGTTAACTCCAGGATCACCGCAAGGTTCTGTGCGGCTGTATGGGGTTAACTCCAGGATCACCGCAAGGTTCCGTGAGGCTGTATGGGGTTAACTCCAGGATCACCGCAAGGTTCTGTGAGGCTGTATGGGGTTAACTCCAGGATCACCGCAAGGTTCCGTGAGGCTGTATGGGGTTAACTCCAGGATCACCGCAAGGTTCTGTGAGGCTGTATGGGTTTAACCCCAGGATCACCGCAAGGTTCTGTAAGGCTGTATGGGGTTAACTCCAGGATCACCGCAAGGTTCTGTGAGGCTGTATGGGGTTAACTCCAGGATCACCGCAAGGTTCTGTGCGGCTGTATGGGGTTAACTCCAGGATCACCGCAAGGTTCTGTGAGGCTGTATGGGTTTAACCCCAGGATCACCGCAAGGTTCTGTGAGGCTGTATGGGGTTAACTCCAGGATCACCGCAAGGTTCTGTGAGGCTGTATGGGGTTAACTCCAGGATCACCGCAAGGTTCTGTGCGGCTGTATGGGGTTAACTCCAGGATCACCGCAAGGTTCTGTGAGGCTGTATGGGGTTAACTCCAGGATCATCACAAGGTTCTGTGCGGCTGTATGGGGTTAACTCCAGGATCACCGCAAGGTTCTGTGAGGCTGTATGGGGTTAACTCCAGGATCACCGCAAGGTTCTGTGCGGCTGTATGGGGTTAACTCCAGGATCACCGCAAGGTTCTGTGAGGCTGTATGGGTTTAACCCCGGGATCACCGCAAGGTTCTGTGCGGCTGTATGGGGTTAACTCCAGGATCACCGCAAGGTTCTGTGCGGCTGTATGGGGTTAACTCCAGGATCACCGCAAGGTTCTGTGAGGCTGTATGGGGTTAACTCCAGGATCACCGCAAGGTTCTGTGAGGCTGTATGGGGTTAACTCCAGGATCACCGCAAGGTTCTGTGCGGCTGTATGGGGTTAACTCCAGGATCACCACAAGGTTCTGTGAGGCTGTATGGGGTTAACTCCAGGATCACCACAAGGTTCTGTGCGGCTGTATGGGGTTAACTCCAGGATCACCGCAAGGTTCTGTGCGGCTGTATGGGGTTAACTCCAGGATCACCACAAGGTTCTGTGAGGCTGTATGGGGTTAACTCCAGGATCACCGCAAGGTTCTGTGAGGCTGTATGGGGTTAACTCCAGGATCACCGCAAGGTTCTGTGCGGCTGTATGGGGTTAACTCCAGGATCACCGCAAGGTTCTGTGAGGCTGTATGGGTTTAACCCCGGGATCACCGCAAGGTTCTGTGCGGCTGTATGGGGTTAACTCCAGGATCACCGCAAGGTTCTGTGAGGCTGTATGGGGTTAACTCCAGGATCACCGCAAGGTTCTGTGAGGCTGTATGGGGTTAACTCCAGGATCACCGCAAGGTTCTGTGCGGCTGTATGGGGTTAACTCCAGGATCACCGCAAGGTTCTGTGAGGCTGTATGGGGTTAACTCCAGGATCACCGCAAGGTTCTGTGAGGCTGTATGGGGTTAACTCCAGGATCACCGCAAGGTTCTGTGCGGCTGTATGGGGTTAACTCCAGGATCACCACAAGGTTCTGTGAGGCTGTATGGGGTTAACTCCAGGATCATCACAAGGTTCTGTGCGGCTGTATGGGGTTAACTCCAGGATCACCGCAAGGTTCTGTGCGGCTGTATGGGGTTAACTCCAGGATCACCGCAAGGTTCTGTGAGGCTGTATGGGGTTAACTCCAGGATCACCGCAAGGTTCTGTGAGGCTGTATGGGGTTAACTCCAGGATCACCACAAGGTTCTGTGAGGCTGTATGGGGTTAACTCCAGGATCATCACAAGGTTCTGTGCGGCTGTATGGGGTTAACTCCAGGATCACCGCAAGGTTCTGTGCGGCTGTATGGGGTTAACTCCAGGATCACCGCAAGGTTCTGTGAGGCTGTATGGGGTTAACTCCAGGATCACCGCAAGGTTCTGTGAGGCTGTATGGGGTTAACTCCAGGATCACCGCAAGGTTCTGTGCGGCTGTATGGGGTTAACTCCAGGATCACCGCAAGGTTCTGTAAGGCTGTATGGGGTTAACTCCAGGATCACCGCAAGGTTCTGTGAGGCTGTATGGGGTTAACTCCAGGATCACCGCAAGGTTCTGTGCGGCTGTATGGGGTTAACTCCAGGATCACCGCAAGGTTCTGTGAGGCTGTATGGGGTTAACTCCAGGATCACCGCAAGGTTCTGTGCGGCTGTATGGGGTTAACTCCAGGATCATCACAAGGTTCTGTAAGGCTGTATGGGGTTAACTCTAGGATCACCACAAGGTTCTGTGAGGCTGTATGGGGTTAACTCCAGGATCATCACAAGGTTCTGTGCGGCTGTATGGGGTTAACTCCAGGATCACCGCAAGGTTCTGTGCGGCTGTATGGGGTTAACTCCAGGATCACCGCAAGGTTCTGTGAGGCTGTATGGGGTTAACTCCAGGATCACCGCAAGGTTCTGTGAGGCTGTATGGGGTTAACTCCAGGATCATCACAAGGTTCTGTGCGGCTGTATGGGGTTAACTCTAGGATCACCACAAGGTTCTGTGAGGCTGTATGGGGTTAACTCCAGGATCATCACAAGGTTCTGTGCGGCTGTATGGGGTTAACTCCAGGATCACCGCAAGGTTCTGTGCGGCTGTATGGGGTTAACTCCAGGATCACCGCAAGGTTCTGTGAGGCTGTATGGGGTTAACTCCAGGATCACCGCAAGGTTCTGTGCGGCTGTATGGGGTTAACTCCAGGATCACCGCAAGGTTCTGTGAGGCTGTATGGGGTTAACTCCAGGATCATCACAAGGTTCTGTAAGGCTGTATGGGGTTAACTCTAGGATCACCACAAGGTTCTGTGAGGCTGTATGGGGTTAACTCCAGGATCATCACAAGGTTCTGTGCGGCTGTATGGGGTTAACTCCAGGATCACCGCAAGGTTCTGTAAGGCTGTATGGGGTTAACTCCAGGATCACCACAAGGTTCTGTGAGGCTGTATGGGGTTAACTCCAGGATCATCACAAGGTTCTGTGCGGCTGTATGGGGTTAACTCCAGGATCACCGCAAGGTTCTGTGAGGCTGTATGGGGTTTAACGGGGGTACCTCGAGGTTCAACTTTGACTTGCGACTTGTTTAAATTTTGCATTCTTTCTGTTCACATTTGTGTGCAGAGAGAACCACGTGTGCTACTTGTTTGCTGAAACATGCAGACTCATAGGGGCCTCCACTTTGATCTGTGAAAAATCTGAAATACTATTTTTAAAAGACAATGCATGGTAGAAAGAAAAACACATTACCTGTGACTATAACGTCTGTCATGCAGTCCCTCGTTGTTCCTGTTACAGAATCTCTACCGTAGATGAGAACACTCACAGTATTGGACTGACCAGCAAATGCTGGAACAGACGCTTGATACATCATCGGGCTGTTTACTTGGGCACCGTCAGCGAAGAAGAAGAATGCTACTGTCCCCGTGTTCCCGGTTGCCGTTGGTTCAGGTAACTGAACAGTGATGGTTGAGCCGGGGGTGCCAGACACAGTAACCGGAGCCTGGCATGTGATTTGGAAACCTAGTAGTGCAAAGATTTTGTGAAAAATTTTGAGCAGGTCAGCAGGATTCAAAAGGGGTTGAATTCAGACCTTTTGCAAATCTGGACATTCTCAATATACTTTATCTGATACAGGATTATATTCACATCAAGCTGTCAATTTTCTCAGCCTTATTTTCTATATAACAATCTTATTCAGAAAACTTGGTGGACTCAACTCTAACAAAAGTATGCCTTTCTGCATGCAGGCTTACTACTCTTACACTGCAATCAGTCCACTCATAATCACGTTCTGTGCATTTTCTGACAGTGTTACATAATAACACCTTCATTGTTCCAAACCCTGAATGTTTCAAATGGAAAAGAGTGTTCGAAACAATCTGTAAACAGGGAAAAATGAGCTTTTCACATTGACAACACTTTTGCCAAAGTAAATAGATTATGCCCTACATAGCAAACTCTAAATAGCCTTGCATTTAAGTACTAGCTACGGGGTTGTTGTTTTGTATATGTCGTAGAGCTATATTAAATTACTAGAGCGCTTACTCGTCATTCTGCGCGCGGAGACACTTTGAAGCTGTCCTGGGCGCAGACATTTTGAATTCATGTGTGTGTTTGTAGAACATAATTAAATTAGATGGATTGAATTTTGAAAGTGTACTCTTAAAGGAACGCGCAAGTAGAAGATACGCAAACAACTTAAGCGCGTCATGACAGTTCAAAAAAACGTGACGGCAAAAAGCATCTGCAGCGAATACGTACACATGTTGCGCTATTTGCGTAGAGCAAAATGACACGCTCATTTGATGATCATGCATTTCGGTTTTGGGCGTGTTGGCTTCGGTAACGCACCGGTATGGAATACAAACACAGATGTGTAAATAGCCATACAAAAGCCGTGCAAAATTGCTACGTCTCCATATGTTTGTGCACAAACATGGATGCGCCCAGCAGGCATTACTTTGTACACGAAGTTAGCGCTCTAGTAATTTAATATAGCTCTATGGTATATGTACATACCAGTCGGGGGAATAGTACATGTACTCCCACTGAATCCTCCAGCACAGATACATGAGAAAGTATTTCCATTGACGTTGCAGGTACCGCCATTCTGACATGGATTGATGGCACATGGGTTGACACCACTCGCTGAAAGAGATCAAAGGCTTCATTATTCACATTGTTATACACTATTATAGTCTCCAGCAAGCCAACATTAGGTGGTGCAACATGGTGCGGTGTGACTGCTTAACAGAGCTCCTTGGAAGAGATACTCCGCATGTGCGCTATCACACATCCTGAATCTGTACATGTACATAAACATAGACATATGTATCAGAAATATCTGCAACATACATTTTACAAGGATATTGTAAGGAAGAAAATATTACCTGTGACTACAATGTTAATTTGGCAGGTCCGTTGTTGATTTGTACCAGCTTCAAAAGCCGTAACGCTGACAGGCACAGTGGACTGACCACTTGCCGGAGCAGTCACTTGGTATGCTCTTGGGTTGCTGATTTGAACATTATTAACGCGGTAAGTGTAGAATACTTGTCCTGTGTTGCCAGATGCCGTTGGTTGCGGTATATTAACGCTGACAGGTGAGTTGGGTGTGCCAGAAACACTTACTTGAGGCTGACATGTGATTTGGAAACCTATCGGTGCAAAGATAAAGGAAAAAAATAGTTTAGTAGGATAATATGAATCTATCATGCTCAATTAAAGGGAATATACATCATCTGTTTTTGATGTAATCTTTGCAAAACAAATTAACTGACTTGATTTGATTCTAAACACTCTATTTTTGAGTGCACATTCACCACACGCTGTCTTTCTCACGCTATTTCTACATTATAGTCCAATTTGGAAATCTTGGTGGACTCAACTCTAACAAAAGTATGCCTTTCTGCATGCAGACTTACTTCTCTTACACTGCAATCAGTCCACTCATAATCACGTTCTGTGCATTTTCTGACAGTGTTACATAATTTATTTATTTATTTACGTCATCTTTAGTGAGGGTAGCTCCGATCAGTGCAGGGCACTGCTTTCCATGGAGGCCCTCAATATGAGAAATATGAGACCCATTATGTAGCACCTTTAAGGGTTACAAGGTGCTGCGGCGCATATTGCAGCCACTGCCAGAAACACCGGGGCAAACCCCTTCATTGTTCCAAACCCTGAATGTTTCAAATGGAAAAGAGTGTTCGAAACAATCTGGAAAAAGGGAAAAATGAGCTTTTCACACTGACAACACTTTTGCAAAAGTAAATAGATTATGCCCTACATAGCAAACTCTAAAAAGCCTTGCATTTAAGTACTAGCTACGGGGTTGTTGTTTTGTATATTCCATTAATTTGAATTGTTCGTTACTATAATCATAATATTTGGAAATAAATCCAATCAAATTCAATCAATCAAACAAAATAACCCTCACATAAAAATGGAGTGGACTAACTGCTTGATCTATGTGATAAAAAATACAGTACACAACTGGCGTTTGTGTTCTATTAGGTTCGGCTCTTGTTTCATTTTTTATGCAAAAACAATGCGTCTTTTAAAACTCCCTATGGGTGTGCAACATTGTATTAAATTTGAATTGTTCGTTACTATAATTATAATATTTGGAAATAAATCCAATCAAATTCAATCAATCAAACAAAATAACCCTCACATAAAAATGGAGTGGACTAACTGCTTGATCTATGTGATAAAAAATACAGTACACAACTGGCGTTTGTGTTCTATTAGGTTCGGCTCTTGTTTCATTTTTTATGCAAAAACAATACGTCTTTTAAAACTCCCTATGGGTGTGCAACATTGTATTAAATTTGGAGGATTCAGGGCTGTTAGGGCTAAAAGCAGTTTATCTTACATATTTTGAGGAAAAAATGTGTAAATATCATCCAGTGCAATTTGTGCATAAAAACTTGCATAATGCGCATAAGTCACTTGTTTTTGCTGCCAAAAGTCCACACAAATCACCTTGTATTAACTGAAATAAATATAAGAAGTAAACTAATATATAAACCTTTTGGCGCTTATTACATTTAAAAAAAACACAATCTTTTTTGTTAAAACAGTTTCACGGTAATATGCCATCTTGTTCACGGGGCAAAAAGAACACGTGTTGTTAGACGTGGGCGCATTTTGGAATGAACGCATGGTGATTTGGAAGCGCAAAAGTATTCCATTGACGATGCGTACACAGCAACGTGTGTAAACTTACCCCGCGGGCAAGACGGTGTATATTACCGTGAAACACCTTATTTCTAGGCTGGTAAACCTACCACCAGGGGCAGTCTGACATATATCCCCCGTGAATCCATTCTGGCATGCACAGCTGAAGGTGTTCCCATTCACTGAGCAGACCCCACCGTTCAAACATGGAGCCACGGAACAGGGATCTGTAGGAGAATCAAGGATACGAGGATACTAATAACCTCCTTCCTATGGTTACAATCTTGCTATGCCATAACCCCTGGTATGTTGCAATGTTAAATATGCAACTGAAGTTGGATATTGAAATTAGGACTACATGTACAAGCGATCCATTTCTCATAATGTTTTGTATATTTAAACCAGGCCCACTGGCCATTAAGTAGCATTGGAACCATTGGAACCGGAAGCTAACGTAACTTGAGTGTTTATCCAATGGACGCCAGTAATCAGTGGTGCGCAGGTGTATGACGTTTTTACTAACGAATTGGATGAACTCTTTCTTTACTAGAATCAGGTAGTTTCCCTGGCATTCGTTAGAATTTCGTGCCTAAACCACGAGCAGTGATAACCTTTTGGTGTTTACAATAAGAGCTAAATCAGCCAGTGATTTCTACCTATTGTAACTTCCACCACTTAAAATGACATCTCCAATATGCCAGTTCGGTATTTCAATTCAATAAGGGTCACGGTCATTCGGGATAATCAAACGCTCATCAAAGGCGCATGAAACGCCCAGGTAGACGGGCGATGGACGCTCGCGTGTTAATAACAATCAGAATGGGCGTCTGCGTAACATCGCGTTTCACCACGTCAGCGATTTGATCTGGAATGACCTTTGACCTGGACTACTTCATCGAGATACGGAACTGGCTTATTGTGGCATTGGAGACGGAGCACATGTTGCTGGGGCTGAATGGATGGGTCTCTTAAGAGTGACCTACCCAGCTGGCAGTTGCTTCCAGAGAAGCCAGTGGGACAGGTGCAGGTCCACGCTTGACCCTGCACGTTACAGGTACCGCCATTCAAGCAAGGGCCGCTCGCACATGGGGAGACACCGCCACCTGAAACATACCCACAAAAAAATGCAGGGTGTCATCAAAGTATATGGTCCTCCCAACTCTTTCTTTGAAACCGTTGATTTGCAACACTTTTCAAAACCTTATAAATCAACTTCTACATTGAGTATATTATTTGATATCCCACAAGCACAAGTGGAACATGGAGTAATCGTTTAACCTAGGTCAGTTGTGTCCCACATGCCTCACAACCGAAGGCCGAGTGGTATGTGGGACGCAGACGTACTCAATTTTTGTGTGTTCTACTTGTGTTCCACAAAGTTATCTTCAAGCAAACCGGACACATTAAGTTGAGACGAAATACCCATTGTGTGCGACACAGAGATTTTCACGTGCGTACAGCAGGAAAGGTGTGGGCATCTTAGAATAGCGTAATACGCAGAGTGCTGTATAGACCATGCTACGTGGGATATTATAACACCTCACCCACAGATTCTGTGTCTTGATTGGCCGAGAGCGAGTCACATGTTACTTTCTAATTTTGCTATCTTTCTGTGCACGGCCAAAAGTACTATGCGCATAGCAACCAAAGTACTATACCATAAGCAACCAAAGTACTATTTCCACGGCGCGGTATTTGTGTGCAAATGCATGTTGGTGTGCGCGTTGCACGTTGTGCGTAGCGCGTATTATTCCAAAGAGATCGCGCCGCAGACTTGGGTTCAAATATTTCGTGAAGGGGTAGTTTTTAAGAGAGAAATACATTTTCCACCAATTTTGTATTAAAATTGAAGTTTATTTCAACTGTGTTCAGATTTAAATAATTTAAAATATTAAAATCAAGCAGAATCTGTGGGTGAAGTGTTATAAAACAAATATTGAATGCTTTATCTCGTGGTGAAGTAAAACGGTGATCCATGGACCATTCTATTAACTCTCGGCTTCGCCTCGGGAAAATAGAATGGTCCATGGATCACCTCGGGAGGCTAGTTTTACTACACCACTCGAAACATTCAATATTTGTATAATATAGCATGGTTTGTTGCAATGGATCAACCAATCAGCATCGAGGATTCAAATTTGCTTGAAGAGAAACTTAAATAATGGCACACTTCCGCTTTGGTTGTGGAGCATCTGTAAGCTAGTAATGGCAGGCTACAGTAAAAGGAGAAACAAATGAATAAGAAATTGTGCCGATGCTGACATTTTGTGAGTTTGTCTTACAGTCACTATGTGGACATGTGAACAAAAGATGTCCACATAATGCAGGTGAGGCGACGTTATGTGGACTAAGCCCTGTCCACATAACGTTTCGCCCTCTCTGGAAAACAGGTTGAGAGGCATTTTTGGGTTATGGTTATCTGTCGCAGAATGAAGAGAAACATTCAAGGAAATCAAAAAACAACTTTGGGGTTGAAAGAGTTTTCACAGTTTTTAAAAGTAAAGTTATTTTTTGTACCGAGTTTTCTTAACTACACGAAAACAAAGGAATGTCCACATAGCGTATGTAAAACAAACATGGGTGGGGGTGTGTGTGTGTCCATCACAATTCGTTGTACATATCAGGCAGACTTCTATCTGAAACAGCAGTCTATCGTACACGTTTGTGCATATGGAAAACAGCGCAAGCTACTCCCTTGCTAAAATCATGCTCACACCTAAGGGCCTCCACTTTGGTCCACACAAAAATCAGCATTTTATTTTACAAGAGCTTTGTAGAAAAGGAAAAGCGCATTACCTGTAACTATAACCTGTGTCATGCAGTTCGTTGTTTGTGATGTTGCAGAATCTACACCGTAGATTTGAAGATTCACAGTGGTCTGACCACTTGCTGGAACAGACGCTTGATACATCATCGGGCTGTTTACTTGGACACCATCAGCGAAGAAGAAGAATGTTACTGTCCCCGTGTTCCCGGTTGCCGTTGGTTCAGGTAATTGAACAGTGACAGTTGAGCCGGGGGTGCCAGACACAGAAACCGGAGCCTGGCATGTGATTTGGAACCCTAACAGTGCAAAGATTTAAAAAAAAATACTTTAGGCCCCCAAAAAAGTCTTGGGTTTCTGGTATGGAGCTTGCCCCAAAAGTGATGCGGCGACGCGGGTTATTTATTATTTTTTTTGCCCCCCATTTTTTTTTCTTTAAATGTCATCTGATGTTGCAGATGACGCTTTTATCCCCTTAAAACTCTCAAAAATATATCCTTCAGAGTGGAGCCTTAGGTGACCTCTGTAAGGCCATAAGGCTCTATTCTGCACCCACTTACGATCTTGATCGACAAGAACATATTTTTGGAAATTTGGATAGTCAAGACAAAAATCTGAGAAAACGTCAGACCATACAGCAACATCGACATCGTGCATGAGTTGCCAGGCTGGTCATTAGTCTGCTCCCTTACATATTGCGCTACTTAAAAAGCGTTTACAGGTTCCAGATACACGACCATCGCTCCCTCAGTCTGGCTTCCAGACGCACAATTGCAACACCGTCTGCAAATGGTGCCCGACTAAATTTAGTGCACAATATATGGGAGCGCAGAGAGGCCACATAAGGCCAAAAAAAAAAAGTCTCCAGTTTCTGGTATGCGCGCGCGTCGCCGAAGCCATGCGCGTCGGCAAAATGAAAAAGTTTTTTTTTTCATTGAAAGATGATGTCTCAAAACCGCCAAACTCACTGGTTTGACTGGAATCCTGCTGCTGCATAATTTTAACGTGTTTTTAGATTGGGTTATGGTCGAGAATAAGCTTTATGTGGCCTCTCTGGACTCCCATATATTTGCACTAAGTTTAGTCGGGCACCATTTGCAGTCATCAGCCGACATTTGAAGCAAAAAAATCGTGTAAAAAAAAAAAAGCCGCGTCGCCGCACCACTTTTTGAGCAAGCTCCATACCAGAAACCGGAGACTTTTTTTTTTGGCCTAACACTTACACTGGATCATAACCCCATACAAAAACATGTTAAAATTGTGCAGCAGCAGGATTCCAATCAAACCAGTGAGTTTGGCGGTTTTGAGAGACCATCTTACATTGAAATAAAACTTTTTAACTTTGCCGATGTGCATGGCTACAGCAACACGTGCGCACCAGAAACCGGAGACTTTTATTTGATTTATCTACCACGCTCATTTAAGTCTTCCCAAATGAGACTGACAAATCACTTGGAAACAGAAAAATCAATGCAAGCTTTGCACTACAACAACTACCAGATTATTACCCCTTCAAGAGCTGAAGTCTATTTCTTTTCCGACTCAAGTCCCTCTTCAAAAGGACTTGGATTCAGACCTTTTGCAAATCTGGACATTCTTAATACATATTTTGTCTGATATAGGAGTACATATTCACCACATGCTGTCTTTCTGATGCTATTTCTACATTATAATCCAATTCAGAAAACTTGGTGGACTCAACTCTAACAAAAGTTTGCCTTTCTGCATGCAGGCTTACTTCTCTTACACTGCAATCAGTCCACTCATAATCACGTTCTGTGCATTTTCTGACAGTGTTACATAATAACACCTTCATTGTTCCAAACCCTGAACGTTTCAAATAAAAAAGAGTGTTCGAAACAATCTGGAAACAGGGAGAAATGAGCTTTTCACATTGACAACACTTTTGCCAAAGTAAATAGATTATGCCCTACATAGCAAACTCTAAATAGCCTTGCATTTAAGTACTAGCTACGGGGTTGTTGTTTTGTATATGTCATAGAGCTATATTAAATTACTAGAGCTCTAACTCGTCATTCTGCGCAGACATTTTGAATTCATGTGTGTATTTGTAGAACATAATTAAATTAGATGAATTGAATTTTGAAAGTGTACTCTAAATCCAACGCGCAAGTAGAAGATACGCAAACAACTTAAGCGCATCATGACAGTTAAAAAAAACGTGACGGCAAAAAGCATCTGCAGCGAATACGCGCACATGTTGCACTGTTTGCGCAGAGTAAAATGACACGCTCAGTTGCTGATCGTGCATTTCGGTTTTGGGCGTGTTGGCATCGATGACGCACCGGCATGGAATACAAACGCAGATATGCAAATAGCGATACAAAAGACGTACACAATTTCTAGGTCTCCATATGTTTGTGCACAAACATGAATGCGCCCAGCAGGCATTACTTTGTACACGAAGTTAGCGCTCTAGTAATTTAATATAGCTCTATGGTATATGTACATACCAGTCGGGGGAATAGTGCATGTAGTCCCACTGAATCCTCCAGCACAGGTACATGAGAAAGTATTTCCATTGACGTTGCAGGTACCGCCATTCTGACATGGATTGATGGCACATGGGGTGACACCAGCCGCTGAAAGAGATCAATTAAAGGCTTCATTATTCACATTGTTAAATACTATTATAGTCTCCAGCAAGCCAACATTAAGTGGTGCAACATGGTGCGGTGTGACTGCTTAACAGAGCTCCTTGGAAGAGATACTCCGCATGTGCGCATACAAGAACACTGGCTCATGCGCATAGGAATCCTGCAGCACAGACGCATGTGAAAGCATTTGCACCGGCAACACATGTACTGCCATTCAGACATGGCGAGCTTGCACACAAGTTAAAAGTGGTAGCTGGAAAAAATTCAAATATTTACTTATTGACATTTATTACCCATTTTGGAAGAAACAAGGAGTCACATTCTTTAAAGCTGTGCTCCTGAGGAATATTCCACACAGTAAACTCAAATGGTCCAATCAAGAACATGTTCACCATACCTACAGTTCATGGTTCAGTTTCAAATTCAATGTACGCTCTGGTCACTGTTGACAATTTCTTACAGAATCAAATGTCGTGTACTTTTTGTTTTACTTATTTTATCAGGCGCTATCACACATCCTGAATCTGTACATGTACATAAACATAGACATATGTATCAGAAATATCTGCAACATACATTTTACAAGGATATTGTAGAGAAGAAAATATTACCTGTGACTACAATGTTAATTTGGCAGGTCCGTTGTTGGTTTGTACCAGAATCAAAAGCCGTAACGCTGACAGGCACAGTAAACTGACCACTTGCCGGAGCAGTCACTTGGTATGCTCTTGGGTTGCTTATTTGAACATTATTAGCGACGAAAGTGTAGAATACTTGTCCTGTGTTGCCAAATGCCGTTGGTTCCGGTATATTAACGTTGACAGGTGAGTTGGGTGTGCCAGAAACACTTACTTGAGGCTGACAGGTGATTTGGAAACCTATCGGTGCAAAGATTTGAAGAAAAAAAACATCGCAAAACCTTCGCAAAACAAATTAACTGACTCGATTTGATTCTAAACACTCTATCTTTGTTGTCACCTGATTGGTGTATATTCCATTAATTTGAATTGTTCGTTACTATAATCATAATGTTTGGAAATAAATCCAATCAAATTCAATTAATCAAACAAATTAACCGTCACATTAAAATGGAGTGAACTAATTGCTTGACCTATGTGATAAAAATACAGTATACAACTGGCTTTTGTGTTCTATTAGGTTCGGCTCTTGTATCATTATTTATGCAAAAACAATGCGTCTTCTATTAAAAGCAATTAATCTAACATCATTATGTGGCTACCCCTGTAGACACTTAAGAACTGACAGGATTTGGAGACCAAGGTCCTGGCAAAGAAGTGTTAGCGAGAAGAAAAGCAAATAAATAGAATTTTCATTTCAGAATGGGTATACAGTGGAACGCCTCTATAACGAACATCGTGGGATCCACAGAAATTGTTTGTGATAGCGATCATTCCGTATAGCGATTGTAAGCTGCTGGTGTTCCGGTACTCCATTTTTAATAAATAGCGCCCTTCAGAACTTCACCCTGCACGCCCTGGTGGTTACTGAAAGATGACTTTGAACGCATGCCCACTATTGAATTATGTAATTCCACAGTTTTTTAGCTTACAGCCTACAGCAATGGGTGGCTTTCTCCTTCTATTCCTTGGGGAAATAATAGCCACTTGTTACTCTTCTGTTGACATTTTTCAACAACAATGTTCGGTACATTTTGTACAGCAACAATCGGGAGCCAAGCACGATGTTCGGTAAAGCCGAATGTTCGTTATAACAGTATAGCAACGTTCCACTTGACATTGTATTGAAGCGTTCTAGCTTGATGTCACATTACAAGTGTGTATTTTCACACATTGCAAGCACATGTTAAATCTTTTTAACTTGAAAAACAAGTGCCCAAACACATTTCGACTTTTATAAACAACGTAGATCCCAAAAATATCAACCATGATTTGCTTCTTATGGAAAAATGACTTAAGACATTGATATAGACCAGAGGGTAGATTTTCACAGCTGTGTTGTATTCTCCCTCCCCCTGCCCATTTCGGCAAGGAAAGTGGTGTAAATATATGACCGTTGAAGTGGTTTTGGTGGCAAGCTGTCACCAATCTATAGTTTTGTAGACATACCACCAGTAGGATTTTCACAAGTAGTTCCGGTGAATCCAGTAGGGCACTGGCAGCTGAACGTATTAACAGCGACTGAACATTGTCCTCCATTCTGACATGGATTTGGTGAGCATGGATCTGTGTGAAAATCAAGTCCCCCGCAGGAAAAACATCAATTGACTGCTGATCATCCCAAGTCAGGGAGCATTTCATGTTTAATTTCTAATAACACAGACAGCCATGTAGAGATGAAGAATTAGCTTTGGGATAACTTAAATAATTCATGCATTACAGTCACATGTGATAAACCAAACCTACTAATCACGCACAGGAAATTTCAAACCACACAATTGTTTCTGATCAACTTTCAGTCATACAACACAATTCAAGGTTAAAAACAGTGCAACTTTTGTTTGACTTAATTATCGATGCAACATTTTGACATAACAAAGCTGAGATTAATTTTTTTTTTTTCAAAACATTCAACGATAATGAAACACTAACTCTCAGGGAGAAGTCAGTTTGGTTCAACTGCTGTATAGGGACCTCCCCTCCCTCAAAACCCTTTCCTTGGAAAGAAGGTAAAAGCACAACTGCATACCAACGCCTGGAGTAATGCTCAGGACAAATGTACACTCGGCCACGTTTCCGTTGGAGTCCACTGCCCTGTACCTAAAGCTGCCGGAGAAGGGCAGGGTGGTGTAGAAATTTTGCCCAGTGGCACTTCCGCCAATGAGCCGATAGCCCAGTGTAACAGCGCCCACGTTATTGGAGTAGGTGGGGTTGGGCAGGGTGTATGTGGTACAGTCTTGGCCAGCATCAGCAGGTATACTGACTGGATTTGGGCACTGCACGGTGAAACCTGGAGGCAACAAGAAAAGAAAAGGCACACATTGTTATGAACAAGTTTGAAGTTGAGATGGTCAATGAAGGAGATGATCAATGAAGGGATAAAGTCCATCACAAGTCCAGTCACAAGTCCATCACAAGTCCAGTCACAAGTAAATCACAAGTTCAGTCACAAGTCCAAACACAAGTCCAGTCACAAGTCCAGTCACAAGTAAATCACAAGTCCAGTCACAAGTAAATCACAAGTCTAATCCCAAGTCCAGTCACAAGTCCAGTCACAAGTAAATCACAAGTCCAATCACAAGTCCAGTCACAAGTAAATCTCAAGTCCAGTCACAAGTCCAGTCACAAGTCCAGTCACAAGTAAATCACAAGTAAATCACAAGTCCAGTCACAGTAAATCACAAGTCCAGTCACAAGTAAATCACAAGTCCAGTCACAAGTAAATCGCAAGTCCAATCACAAGTCCAGTCACAAGTCCAGTCACAAGTCCAGTCACCAGTCCAGTCACAAGTCCAGTCACAAGTCCAGTCACAAGTCCAGTCACAAGTCCAGTCACAAGTCCAGTCACAAGTCCAGTCACAAGTAAATCACAAGTCCAGTCACAAGTAAATCACAAGTCCAATCACAAGTCCAGTCACAAGTCCAGTCACAAGTCCAGTCACAAGTCCAGTCACAAGTCCAGTCACAAGTCCAGTCACAAGTAAATCACAAGTCCAGTCACAAGTAAATCACAAGTCCAATCACAAGTCCAGTCACAAGTCCAGTCACAAGTAAATCACAAGTCCAGTCACAAGTAAATCACAAGTAACAGTGGATGAACAGTAAGGAAGGAATGCCTTTGTCAATGTTGATCTGAATAGCTTGTGAGTTGAATTGGGTCTTGTGATGGATTGCAGAGACTAGTGATGGTCTCGACTACATCCCTGGATCAATGCATGGGGAAAAGGTTTATGCTGCTCTGTACAAAACCAAAATCGTCAAATTTTAAACATTTTAATCCCCCTTCACTCCCACACTCTTTTGTCCATTCCCACTCCCTGTGACCTTTGATCCTTCCCCTTTCTGGTCCCTCCCCTGTTCATACCAGACCCCTTGTGGTTTGCCATCTCCCTTTGTTTCTTTGTTCTCTCATCCACCCTCCCCTGCATCTTTCCACACCTTTCGCACCTAATCCTCCTTTTGTGTTTCTTCTTTCATCCCTGCATGTTTGTGTGCACCCCCATGTTAATGTATGTACCTCTGTCATTTCTGTTTTAGCCTCTGAAGAAGAACTTGCTAAGTTCGCAACGTCAGGCCACATTAATTTTTAGATTTATATATTTCAGGTCCACCCAGTCAGTAAGCAGTTTGCAGCAGTCTTACTTTTTCAAATTTTAAACATGACATGTTCCTCTTCCAACTTGTTCTGGTCGTGTGCCTGGCAGGCTTTTTCTTTTCTGGATTGGTATCTATGCTGTCGCTAAGACAATAGGAACAGAGTCTGAACAGCTGTTATGGAGTCAGTCACATCAATCACAATTCAGATCACAGGTAATAGGGGACAACAATCAAACTTAATTCAACTTGACTAGAGACCGAAATCTTGCGATTGCATGATTTGCGATGACTTTTGATTACAAACTCTAGAAAATCTGCCAATACCTCCTTGTCTTGTAACAGTGACCTGGAAGGTACAGGTTGCCCGGTTGCCAGAATAGTCTGTGGCTGTGTAGGTCACTGGAGTCATACCCTCTGGGAACGGTGAGCCAGACAGACGGTCGCTCGACACCAGAGGCGGCCCTTGGTTGTCGGATGCTATTGGGGGAGACCATGTCACCCGGACAGTGGTAGCGTCTCCACTGATAATAGCGGTGGGAGCGTTTGGACAGGTGATGCTCGGCATCGAATTATCTGTGACTGCGCTTCCTGATCATCACAAGAAAAAAATATAACACCATGTTTTCAACAATTTTAATGTAAATCAAAGATCAACAATGCAGCACAATTAAATATTTTGTAAAATGTCCAAACCAAGCATCTCTGCCTCTAGAGTTTGTGCACAAATCTTTCCTGAGCAGTGACACATGCAGGAAACAAAACCTGGTTCATACTTTGCACAAAGTGAACGCGAAACATCTGCAGTGGAATTCGCTGGAGTTGAAAAGGAGTTCATCTTCTGGGAATCCACAACACCAGCACTTTGCTGTGAGTAGTAACAGGCCTTTAGTAACAGTATTTAGACAAACCAAATACGCAAGGCCAAGAAAAGAAACTGCAAATTAGTAGGAAAGATTCACAAATCAATTTTACCAGTAACCAAAACATTGAAGGAGCATTTGGCCAAATTTCCAGCAGCGTCAGCGAAGACGTAGATAACACGGGTGGAGGTTCCGGTTTGGAAGGGCGTAGAATTGGGAGTGTGCGTCTGGTAGAACAAGGTTCCGCCAAACACCTGCGGCTCAGTCCACGGAACGTTGACAACTGATTGGGAGCCGGCATCAAAAGCAAAATCGCTGGGACAGTTGAAGACTTGGGGCGGCGTCGTGTCTGAATGAAAATTGGAGACCAGTTTCAGTTCAGTGGATCGGCAATATCAACAATCAGAGCATAAAAGTGGAAAAGCTAACATTTGTTACAAATGTACAAGTTGCTAGCTTTGCATTATCAACACTCTTCAGAGAATTATACTGCATGAGCACATACACAAAGAAGTCTTCCAAATGACATATATACATTCACGGTGCTTTGCAGTAATTAACCTTACGCAGTAGAATCGGTCAACGCAGCTTGCAAAATATTGTCCAATTACATGATATCCAAATGGATGCAGAACGCGCAAAAATTGAGACACACAAAACTAAACGTACACAATTCTACAGGATTGTCTAGAGTGTTGGATTCAACACGCAGGCAAGAGGATAAATAAAAATGGAGATGCTTTCTAATTTATCAGCATTTTGAAGGCAGTGAAATGCCTTTTTAAGGACAGCCTACCTCCAGCTTGAGTTTCGCAGAGATTGCCGCTGAAACCAGCAGCACATTGGCATGTGAAGCTGCGGTCACTTGAAGAGCACGTTCCACCGTTCAGGCAAGGGTTGGGAACACATGGATTGGCATCTGATGGACCAAAGGAAAAAGTACATTCTGTTAAACTTTAACAATTGCCTTTAAAACCTAGCACTTTGGCTTGCAACACTGGGGCTACTGGTACCAACACTAGGGCTGCTATGTAAATATCTGAAATTTTTGTACAGTTTTCAATCATCCAACATATCAAGTATATAAACGATACCTTTTTGGGACTTGAGTTACAGAGCTTGTATCAGGAGCTTGCGACACCGTCAGGGTGTCTTTTTCAACTGGCGTTGTTGAGGCCCTCATGTCACGTGACCAAGCTTGGTCACACGACAGGAGGCCCACATGTACGACCGCCTCCTGTCGTGTGACCAAGCTTGGTCACGTGACGGTCACGTGAGGGCCTCAACAATGCCAGTTGATAAAGACACCGTGATGGTGTCGCAAGCTCCTGATAAGATCTCTGTAACTCAAGTCCCAAAAAGTTATCGCTTATTTACTTGATATAATAGTGGAACAGAACACTTTCATGCTCGATCCAACATATCTTCTCCTGTAGCTACGGCACAACTGAGCCCACTTCCCTGGCTCTGGTAACCGAAGAATCCTGCACTACGATCGCCAATCTCTGCCTACAGCTCTAGCAATGATACTGTGCACTCACCCCATACGGGTCATTCCATAAATCTAGGTTCCAAGGTGGGACATAATTCCCGTCCCTGTAACCTTGGTACTTTATACTTTGCCATTCAAGTGTCATCAAGAATGACTTCAAATAATTTGTTATTTCTTGGGTTAGTAATTCGCTATTTATATTCACTCTTGGAGAATGACTGCGTTAATAAAGGAGTGGATCTGAATTAAAAAATCACAGATGTCTAATGAAAACTGGGGAAAATGTGGATCTCCAATTTATGGAACGACCCATATGTGTACGTTTGCACAGGTCAAAATTCCTTGTTAACCAGAGCGTGAAGTTAGGAGTGGACATTCACTGACCATTCATAATGTTCGTCTGGTCAAATGCTTCTCTCTGATACCTATTCTTGAAGGATGGACAGGATTGAGGGTGTGGGGTGGTGTGGGGAGGGTGTACACTTCACCTTGTACCAAGTACTTACATGGTATTTCGCAGTGTTGTCCGAAAAATGATGGCTGGCATCTGCACCAGTAATCCACCGACTGCAGATAGCTGTTGTAGATGTTGTTGCACGTCCCACCATTAGCACAAGGTCGGGGGAGGGAGCCACACACGTTCATTGTTGGTGCATTGGCTATTGAAGTTTGGTAGAAAAAGACAATTGTACTGCTCACGTCTTTCTTTCCAAATGTTTGAATGTTTTTGCAACATTTCTACAAGTCTTGGTCGCGTTGCTTATCCCATTTGGTCTATTAATTACGTTCTTTTTACACTAAGAAACATTCACTCAACACTGATAACAGCCAACCCCCCTACACATATTCTTGATGCATCTTTATGTGTACAGAGTTATTCAGTTATTTCCATTATCTTATCTGTGCCATGTGGCTCCTGGAATTGTGTATGCCCCCAGGAAAGCCGAGGGTGACATTTACACATTAGGTAATTTCAGGAATGACATGAGTTTTCAACTTTTGCACATGTATTTAATTCAAAAGTTCAAGGAATTGACATGTGTGTGTGTTCGTGCACTAAATACACTCCGCGGGTCAACAGATAAAGGGAGAACAACGGATTCCTTTTCAACTTAAATCGTTAATTTTTTGGTTGAAAACGGTCCTCAATTATGTGTTTGTGTGCTTAGTCTATGGGAGAGTGTTATATTACAGGGACAAAGGGAAAGACAATGCCTTGTCCTCAAGAGTTATGTAAAGTACACACACACAACTTGGGGTACATTTCCTACTAGGGGTGGTGTTTTTTAACCGTGTCTTATTAAGCAGCAGAGGAACAAATATTCCAAAGTATTTGAGAACGATTATGAGAATGTGGTCGGCATACACAAGTGACATACTCTGCAGATGTATGTCCAAGCAATAAAAAACAAACAAAAACAACAAAGTTTCTTCAAGTTGGTTTGCTTCTAAATGTTTGGAAGGCGTAAGTGTTTAGTAAGGGCACGGATCCTACACAAAAGGATAAACGACTGTTCTGAGCTCTCTTACAAAATGCACTGAGCAGACTTGCCTTAATTGGTTAGACGCGTGATAACGGGCATTAATACCCGTTGGCGCGTAATCGCGAATTTTCCAGATGTGCCATTGTGTTGGTTTTTTTGCATGACATCTAAAACTGAAATATTCATAAAACTGTTAGCAAAACTTCTCCTTAAGTAAGATGTAATTGTTTCAAAATTGTTAAAGAATAAATACTTCAGGATATAACAGATGGTATTGTGCAGTTTTTGTCGTCATAGATGAAGTATTTACCCGGGAAATAAATGTCAAATTTCGAGGAGAACACCGTTTATCCAAATTTCGTTTTTAATTAGGCTTTCATAAAAAAGTTTTTGAGAGATATAGTCCTGAACCAATGAAACAAAAGCGATATTTCATAGTTCATTTTAAAGCTAAAGATATTGTGCTCGGCGTTAACATGGTTATGTAGTTATCACTTATCAGAATTCAATAATAAAGGCCAAAAACATAGACTCATGATTATTCACAAATATAATTAGCTGGCTTGACAGACTTCGACACCAGATCGGGCGCAGAGCCCTGCAAATCTGAAAGCCATCCCGCGCAGTGGTCTTTGTTGACAAGTATTCATGGTATTTGCCACCTGTAGCAGTACGGGCCGTTATCACGCGTCTAACCTGGAGTTTTGCCGAGTCATTAATCCTTGTGTGTAGGATCCGTGATAAGGGGAACAGTGAAACTACTTACTTGTGGGAGTGTTGCAGTTCATACCAGTCAGGAAAGTATTGCAGTTGCAAACGTATTGAGCTTGGTAGATCTGAGGGCTGGAACTGTGGTAGCTATTGGAGCAGGTGGAACCGGATTGGCATGGATTGGACGCACAGGCTGAGGCAGCACCAACATCAGCTGAAAAAACAAGACAAAAGGGAGCAGAGAGTGCATACACAGATATACAAGTAGTCATTGGACTTAGCCCGTTCATTCAGTGGCGCACCCAAGGGGGGCTTGAGTCCCCCCCCCCCCAAGAGGTTGTCAATTTTTTATATTTTTTTTGGTTTAAATTGTGTTTTCAGTCCCACGATTTGACCTTGGTGATATGTATGTGGCATTTTTGAGTTGTATAATAGGGGTGTAAGTGACGCCACCAATGTCAAAATAGTCCGCTCCATAATTTTTTTCTGTGGCCAAAAGTTTTGAGCAAAATATTTCAAAAAAATGGTAGTTCTACAAAATTTGAAACAAAAAAGTGAGTCCCCCCCCCCCCCCAAGCCAAGTCCTGGGTTCGCCACTGCGTCTATTGGCTTGACTAAACACCCTGTGAAATTATTCCGTCTGACTTGCTGTCATTTAGAAGAAATCAAGTGATGTAGGTGATTTCCAACAATCAGTCAAATGACTGAGTTTTGGAAATCAAGAGTGATTCGGATGAAATTGTGTTCTGTGATCAAAATATTGTGCACAGTTTTTCACTGTTTTCTGGAAAATGTAATATCCACTGAGCTGAAACTTCAACAGGTTAGGTTTGAACATTCTTCTTTGGATTTTGAGTGGTGTTATTATTGGAAACAAACAAAATGCATGAAAAGCAAATGATCCTATATGTCTTTAAGAAGTGCTTGTGTTGGTGAGCCACTCACATATAGATACCCCACAGTTGATGCCTGTGTAGCCTGATTGACATTTGCAGGTATAGGCAAAGTCACCGTCCATGTTGATGCAGTCAGCGCCATTCAGGCACGGGAAGCTGTTACAAGGATTGGACCTCATAATGATCGCTGAGAACAAAATAAATAAAAAGCGTCATGATATTTGGGTCAAGTTATGCACATGATAATTAGTGTCCTGTCAATTTTCAGGCACAAATTCTGTCAGGGTTACTTACGTAATGATTTAGGATGACACTGAATGAATTTGAACGAACATTCACAAATAAAACAGTCACAACATCGTGATGTCCTAATTGATTGTAAGTAAAGAATAGGGGGAGTGTGTGGCCTAGTGGTTAGGGTTCGTGACTCTTGATCAGAGGGTCCGGGGTTCAAATCCAGCCGCTGGTCATACATTGTGTCCTTGGGCAAGGCACTTCACCCCATTTGCCTCTCTCCACCCAGGAGTATAAATGGGTACCGGCATTAGCTGGGGAGTAACCTGCGATGGACTAGCATCCCATCCAGGGGGAGTAGAAATATTCTCAGTCGTTTCATGCTACGTAAACCGGAGATAAACGCCGGCCTGATGAGCCACATTGGCTCGGGACAGACTTTACTTTTTAAAGAATGGGATCAAGCATCCTGTGAAAGCATTGGACCTTACATGCCATCATTTTCAAGAAAAGAGTAATTACAACAGCCAATATGCACAGAATGCTTAAACATTCGGGTTGCCTGGTCGTTGCCTCTTGGCATGATGTCACAGGGCACATTGTCTACAAATCATACAACCTGGGACTGAAGATGGGTCTCAGGAAGAATAATTTTTGGGTCTCCTCCTTGGATTTATTTCACCAAACTTAAGATGCATTCAAGACGTCCTAAATTCCTTAAGCGATGACGCTGAACTGGTCTTAACTTAAGATCAGTCTAAGGGTTGTCTTATCTCATAATTATGCGTTTTAATTTGTATATTGTCTCAGTGCAGTCTTTTCATTAAAGGCGAGTTTTGGCCTAAGGGTACATTTTCGTAATAGTTTCGAAGCTAATAGTTTCAAAAACTGCTGTAGAAACAGTTATGAGAAAGTTTCTGACACACAGTAGTTTTAATAATAATTTATATCTAACTTCCAAAACTTAATTATAGGCAGTAATTCGGGCAGTGTAATGCTATATAATTACAAGCAGACACTAATTATTTTCCAGGCAAGTTCTATGAACGTGCGTGAAACATGCGTTTACTTGTTTCTTATCAACGACCGTTTACTCCAGCGGTGAAAACAAACACCAAACAGCCGTCAAATTGGCAATTTGGTCCTCGTCCAGTAAATAACAATTGCCTTAACTGTATTTCCATTACGTCCTGCTTGAGATGTGTTTAGTGAAACCGATCCTATGACGTGTCTTAGCTAGGATCGATCTTAGAGCGGGGACTCGTCTGATGTCCTAATATGAGTCGCTAGATACATGTAAGATGAGTTTCATGAAATCAACCCCTGTCTCCCCAAAGCTGGCACTGAAAACCACAATGTGCTCTACCTTCACAGTGTAGCCCTGTAAATCCTGATGAACACTGACACACGTAGTCATAGCAGGTGTTGGCCCTCAGCATACATACTCCGTTATTCTGACAGGGATTCGGAAGGCAAAGGCTTGGAACAGCTGCAAGAAAAACACACATCCTTATTATACTGGCTCAACTGATCAAACTTGCCGAGGCTAACTGATCGAGGCGGATTTCTTGCAGAAGTACCCGCTCAAAAGAGATTGGAGGACACCTTATGGACAATGTTCTTGCTGTGCTACCACAAACAGGTGTGTTCTAAGACCCCATTTACACAGGGACTGCGGCCTTTGAGCCTCCCTTGTGCAACCATAAAACTGGCCAGGTCACCATTGCAGGCTCAACGGAGGCCGAATAGTTGCCTAGGTCATTTAAAGGTGGTACACAGGATGTTCAGACATTGCCATGGACGCCATGGTAGCCATACATTTTTGAACGTGTTCAAAACAGTTGCACAAAGATCGCCAAGGAGGTTGGTTGCTCAAAGGTGGCTAAAATGAGGCAGAAAGGAGGCACAAGCATTACCGTGCACAAAGGTCCTTATGGTCGCCATGTACTAGATCCGTTCTGTTGCCAATTTTACCATCAATCTGAGCAATGCTTCTGCCTCCCTTGTGCCTCAAGGGTCGCCTAGGAGGCAGAAGCATGGCAGAATGGTCGACCAGTGATCGCCGTTAGTTGCCGTTGGTCGCCGATGATAGCACAGAGGAGGCACAGAGGAGGCTCAAAGGTTGCCCAAACATTGCTCGCGAGTCGCCTATGTTACCTATAATCACGTTGGTTGCCATAGGTTGCACAGGGGAAGCACAGGGGAGGCAGGCAAGTGTCTCAGTGGATGTACACGTCGCTCGTAGCTCGACATGCAAATGCCAGAAAATTGCAGTTTTGGCTGTTCAAGGGAGGCACAAGGATCGCGGCTGGAGCTGTTACATAGAAACAGGATTTTCTGGGTTTAGGCGACCATTGAGCATCCTGGCCATTCATAGGTGGTACAAAGGTCGCAGCCCTGTGTAAAGGGGGCCTCACGTCAAGACGCAGCATGTGTTTAGCACATTCAGATAAAAATTGGGGCATCCACATTCTGCGCCATGCAAGCCACATCTAGTACCCCTACGTGGGTGCAATAGCCAATTAAAGTTGTGTAAGACTATTTGTATTTTTCTTATAACTCACCTAACTGACAGTTGTAGCCAGTAAAGCAGCCAAGGCATCGACAGGAATAGGCTGTGCAAGAGTTCTGGACGGCACTGCAAACGCCGCTGTTCTGACAAGGGGAAGCACTGCACGGGTTGAAGACTGAGAACAAGACAATGCCAAACAAACAATGGGTTAAAGAGTAGTCTAGTTTGAAATGTATGAGGTCTAAAATGTACTTTTGGTGCATCGGATGTTAAAGGCTGCCCTTCAGCCGTCCATATCTGTGTCCAAAAAATGTGGAGTATCAATCACCGACCAGAGGACTACAAAACGGTTGTCAGAGTGAATGGTGCAAAGTACCAAATCATAAAATCTAGTATCGAAACAGGATTGAAAGCAAAATTGGCTTGGTTCTTAGGCAGTACTTGCATAAATGGGTATGGACATGGAGATGAAAGGAGACAGAAACATCCTTATTCTTCAAAGGAGATAACTCTCTTCCGAAAAAGACTGGTCACCTGGAAGAACAAAATTGCACAGACCACGTAGAATCTTACCTTCGTTGCAGGTAGCTCCACGGAAGCAGCCTGAGCAGGCGCAGGAGTACTGGAGGCATGATGACCCAAAAGCGCTGCACACTCCGCCGTTCTCACACTTGTGATTTGCACAGGCATCCACCTCTGTTACACAGGAGACATAATGATACATCAATAATGCCCCCTCTCTGATTAGCCCCTCCCCTCCTACCCACCAACCCATTCCAATAGACCAATCCATTGAGCCCGCACAGTTGCATTCTGACAAATCACAGCCGTATTATGTCCGACAAACGTAAAAATGTATGACGTGCAAGGCTGAAACATGCAGGACAGCATTGGAGTCCTAGGAGCACGTGTTAATTGCCCAGGAGTGCAGTGGGCAGTCCTTACTGGATGAGTGTATTGTGGCTCCAGAATACTAACGAACACCGCCACCTAGTGTCATATAGTGTCCAGTCCTGACGGCACTGAAGAGCACTGACGGTTGGCAGAAACTTGCCTATCCCACCCTCCCCTCCCCTTGTCAACATTTTTTGCTGGGTCAGTTATAAATTGGCATCCTAAGTTGGCGGTGTGAAGTTTTGAGTCAGACATGCCCATGAGCGCCCTCTCGTCTCATTCCTGGTTCCCCCTTTGCTAAACAGCTTCCTCAGAGTAAAAAGTGAAGTCCAAACTTGGGTTATCCCTTAATTCAGGTAACAGACATAAATCAAACATCTCACATGGCGTACAGCTTCTTAAAACCGGTCTTGACATTATCGACTTACGCTGGTCACAGAAACGTCCATAGTTGCAAGTGCTGCACTGGCAAGTGTAGTCAACACAGGAACCAGCAACGGGAACGCATACACTGCCGGATGCACACATGTTATTAGCACACGGATTCACACCTGCAAGAGAGGACAGCAAGGGAACTATATCAGCACTATTCTGTAATGCAGACCTAAATTTCAGCTAAACTTCTGCACCTAGAACCAACTTTAGATTAAAACTGTCATGTTTTTGTTATTACAAATTTTGATTTTGTAAATCCCAAAGATACAAAAAGGCACATGTAATAGCTCATGATGACTGGTCATTCAGAATTTCAGTGCCCTGTGTTTGTTAGAAAAGTTCTTGGTAATAATGATAACAAATCACAACTTTCTGTTGCTTAAAAAATATCATTTGGACAGCTTACCACAGAGTATCTCAGTGTTGTAGTCAAGTCACTTGGGTCGAGTCTGACTCCGAGTCTGACTCACTTGGGTCGAGTTTCGAGTCCGAGTCTCCAGTCACTTGGGTCCAGTAAATGTCTTGAGTCACTTGGGTCGAGTCCGAGTCTTGAGTCACTTGCATCGAGTCTGAAGGTCTGAGTCACAAATAACTTGGGCTGAGTCCAAGTCTCGAGTCACTTGAATCGAGTCAGAGTTCAAGTCTCGAGTCACTTGGGTCGAGTCTGAGTCCGAGTCACTTGGGACAAGTCCGAGTATTGAGTCACTTGCATCGGGTCTGAAGGTCCGAGTCACAAATAACTTGGGCTGAGTCCGAGTCTCGAGTCACTTGAGTCGAGTCAGAGTTCAAGTCTCGAATCACTTGGGTCGAGTCTGAGTCCGAGTCACTTGGGACAAGTCCGGGTCTTGAGTCACTTGCATCGAGTCTGAAGGTCCGAATCTCAAGTCACTTGTGTTGAGTCCGAGTCCGAGTCACAAATAACTTGGGCCAAGTCCGAGCCTCGAGTCACTTGAGTCGAGTCAGAGTTCAAGTCTCAAGTCACTTGAGTCGAGTCTGAGTCCGAGTCTCTAGTTATTTGTTTAAAGTGCAGAGTCACGAGCCACGTTTGGAAGAAACAGATATGCAGGGATGTTCATGTAGGTGATATGTAAGCGATGCGATATGTAACCTTAATTTAAAAAAATACGAACTTACCCAGTTGACAATTCTGGCCAGAGAAGCATGGTGGACACACGCAATTGTAGTCGTTAGTACCACGCCCAGTGGGAACGCAGTTGCCTCCATTCTGACATGGTGAAACAGTACATGGGTTCTCTGTGGAGAAGAAATACACATACACAAACCATCTTACTCACACTGACTGCCCAGATTGTTTTCTAGGTGGAACAAATGTTTACTAATCTACTTTTCGTAAAACTTAGGATCAATAGTTGCCCACAGGTAACCTGAAAACATTAGACCGTGCATGATGTCTGAAGCCTGTCTTTATTTATGTGCATCTACCATTTTTTTTCTTTTCTATTGTCTAAAGATGTCAATAATAAGTTAATAAATCCTGCTTGCCCTGTTTTGTCTAGTTTATGTCAATGCAAACTCAAGCTGCCATTTTCAAGCAAATGCCACCATTGACTGATTGTTTTCGTTTTTATTTGCACATCATAGTACTACGAAACCCCTTTTTATTCAAATAAATCAACTGTGAATTCAAGTAAATAAAACGTTTTTCTTTCCAAAAAAAATGAAGGAATATGATACAAGCATAGTAGCAGAAAACTTACGGACGAAGATGTTGACTTGGAAACTGCAGACAGCCGTGCGTCCCCCTGCGTCTCGCACTGTGTAGGATACCTGTGTGGACGGGTTTGTGAAGCGCGTGCCCGCTGCTGGGGTCCGGTCGGAGATGGTCGCTGAGTTAGAGGCATCGTAGAACTGCGGCTCTGCCCAGCTCACCAAGATCCCCTCAGCGGGAAAGTCCAGCACAGAGTACTGGATGGTGCTAGGACAGTAGGTGAAGACGGGTGCAGTGGTATCCACTGAGTGGGAAACAGTGTCAGGACAAAATGAAGTGTGATTTACAGAGACATGCTGCTGTCTCAATCTTACAGGGGGAGAATCTCCTTTGTTGGTGGCAGGGGTATGTGAAAACAGGGGTGAAAGGTTGGTAGAGGTCCACATGATTAGCTGGAATGAGAAGTCAATTTTGAAGATTTGGCGAATTTATGATGTATATCAAAGCAGAGAGTGTGAACAAACCTAAACAGGACTAATAGCAACTTGAAAGAACATTTTGCAATCAATGCCCCCTCTTTATTTATTTATTTATTTATTTTTGGGTGTGGGGTGGGAAGGTGTTTAATCTATGGGAGAACACCCTTTCCTTCACAAAGACAAATCCTGCTGATTGTGCAGCTGATAAAAATAAAACAACTTTTTATGAACTTTTATATTCAATTCATGTTCCAATCATACACCCAATTGTGGACCTCATCACAGCGTATGCAGAGTTTAGTACACCAGGGAAATGGACCTCTAAAGAAGTGGCCTTGGCCACTTGGAAGAAAGCAGATGAAACAATAAAGGTCTTTGTGTATTCACAGTTGATAAGAAACTTTAGAACTGTGGTCAAACTCCTCAGCCGTTGACCCTCAAACCCTAGTGATGTTGGATGTCTTCAACACCTAAAAACAAAGAAATTCATGTAACTAAGCCCAAGTGGTACGGTGAGGAAATCAGAAATTCATGCACTCACCAACGGTGACAGTGACAGTGAAGGAGCAGGTATCTGTGTTGCCGGTCACATCTGCAGCCTGGTAACTGACGACGATGGGTGCTCCCGCGGGGAAATATGAGCCAGAGGGTCTGTCCGTAAGCAGGGTGACAAAAACTGGCCCGCCAGAGGAATCTCCTACAGTAGGCTGCTGCCAAGAGACGAGCGACCCGCTTGCAGTGCCAAGCTCCACGGTTCGGGTGATGTCAGCCGGGCACGTTATTGACGGATTCATTCGATCAACTGCAACAAGAAATTTTTGGTTTGAAACAGATGTTCATAACAATGAAATTATTACACACACAAAAAACAGCACAAGCATACCTCTAAATGAGCAAAGAATCTCAAAAACAGATTTAAAAACAGAGGAACAAATCAGAATGTTATTTGTTTTTTTTTGGGGGGGGGGTGTTTCGTTGCTTGAAACTGGCGAAGAAAAGTTGACTTTCTTGCTCTTGAGATAAGATATTAATTTGTATGCATTTGAAATCGACTTCTTTGCGAGCATGCAATGTCAGCATGACACTAATTTTGCACTTTAATCAAAGCTCTTCCTAAACATGGTAAAAGTTGGCAGTTTTCAATTTTATACAAATTTCTATCATTACAATGATTACTTTTTATTCAAAATTAGATGACAAATTCAATTTCCTGCATGCTTTTTTCGATAAAAATGGCAAACTGGTTTGTTCCCATCTTGTTATAGATAAGCAAGGTCTGTCTTCAATTGGCCAACGGGCGACAGAAGAATGCAGTACAATAAATGTAGCATTAGGAACAATCAGAGATGTTTTCATACCAGTGTTTACGACGACACAGAATTCACAATTGACGAAATTTCCAGAATTGTCTGAAATTCGGTAGACTATTTCATATACCCCTGCACTGAAGGAGCTGCCTGGTGCCAATCCTGTTTGAAGCACAACATTAACTGGCGAACCGGAGTCGTCAGTAGCTGTGGGCAGATCCCAGGTTACCTGTACTGTGTCCCCAGAGCCAAGCTCCACAGTTCTCACAATATTGGCAGGGCAGACGGTCACCACAGGGGGCGTGATATCAACTGAAATAATAACGAATATAGTATAATTACACACATGTATTTATATATTGAATTACACATTACAGTCGTATTTACATGTTACACGCTTGTAAATTCGGGCAACCTTACTCTGCGATGAAATGGGCTCTGCGCTGTTGCCCGCTATAGCCAAGGGAAGTGAAATCTCAATAAGTCAAATCTCAAGGGAATGGATAACAAATTTGAGATATCTGAGGTTCAAGTTACGCAAAGTTCCCAATTTGTCTATGATTACGTACACAATTATGCATGTGCTTGCACTTGCTTGCATGTCACGTTATTTGGCGCACTTTTCTTCTTTTTGATTGAATTTTGGGGCAATCACAGATCAATTACAAGTCAATCATAAGACACTCACAGATCAATCACAAGTCAATCACAAGGCAATCACAGATCTATCACAAGTCAATCATAAGACAGTCACATATCAATCACATATCAATCACAGATCAATCACAAGGCAATCACAGATCAATCACAAGGCAATCACAGATCAATCACAAGTCAATCCAATCATAAGGCAATCACAGATCAATCGCAAATCTATGGAACGCCAAAGCCGCCTCCTATAGTTCGTTTTCATTCCATAATCAATTTCATCATTCCATTCGGCGATTTCATCATTTCATTCGGCGATTCCATCATTCCATTCGGCGATTTCATCATTCCATTCGGCAATTTCATCATTCAATTCGGTAATTCCATCATTCCATTCGGCGATTTCATCATTCCATTCGGCGATTTCATCATTCCATTCGGCGATTTCATCATTCCATTAATCAATTTCATCATTCCATTCGGCGATTTCATCATTCCATTTGGCGATTTCATCATTCCATTCGGCGATTTCATCATTCCATTTGGCAATTTCATCATTCCATTCGGCAATTCCATCATTCCATTCGGCGATTTCATCATTCCATTCGGCGAGTCCATCATTCCATTCGGCGTTCATCCTTTCATTCGGCGATTCCATCATTCCATTCGGCGATTCCATCATTCCATTCGGCGATTCCATCATTCCATTCGCAATTTCATCATTCCATTCGGCAATTCGATCTTTCCATTCGGCGATTTCATCATTCCATTCGGCAATTCGGTCATTCCATTCGGCGATTTCATCATTCCATTCGGCGATTCCATCATTCCATTTGATGATTTCATCATTCCATTTGGCGATTCCATAATTCCATTCGGCGTTCATCCTTTCATTCGTCTATTTCGCATCTGATTAGCCATTCGACATTTCATTCAGCAATTTCGCCCCTTTTGCACTTCATGCTATTCTGCATTTCGCATTCTATGCAGCTATTTCGCATTTCATGCAGCTATTCCGCATTTCATTCGGTCCGGCAGCGTCCATCCGTACGGAAGCGTTAAAGGGATATAACACAAAGTAAAAAAAAAAAGAAGTCATAATTAGGACTTATTATTAAATCATTGTTATGACTTATATCTCATAATTATGACTTAGTGTTAAGTCATAATTATGATATATATCTCATAATTACGACTTAGTAATTGTTAAATCATAATTATGACTTATATCTCATAATTATGACTTATTATTAAGTCATATTTATGACTTATATCTTATAATAATGACTTATTATTAAGTCATGACATATCTTATAATTACGACTTAGTATTAAGTCATTATTATAACATATGTCATAAATAAGACTTAATAATAAGTCATAATTATGAGATATAAGTCGTATTATGATATATATCATAATTATCATAATTATGACTTAATAGTCATTATTATAAGATATAAGTCATAACAATGACTTAATAATAAGTCATAATTAAGACTTTTTTTTTACTTTGTCTTATGTCCCTTTAACGCTTCCGAACGGATGGACGCTGCCAGACCGAATGAAATATGGAATAGCTGCATGAAATGCGAAATGGCTGCATGAAAAGCGAAGCTCATGAAGTGCAAAAGGGGCGAAATTGCTGAATGAAATGTGGAATGGCTAAAACAAATGCGAAATAGACGAATGAAAGGATGAACGCCGAATGGAATTATGGAATCGCCAAATGGAATGATGAAATCATCAAATGGAATGATGGAATCGCCGAATGGAATGATGAAATCGCCGAATGGAATGATCGAATTGCCGAATGGAATGATGAAATCGCCGAATGGAAAGATCGAATTGCCGAATGGAATGATGAAATTGCGAATGGAATGATGGAATCGCCGAATGGAATGATGGAATCGCCGAATGGAATGATGGAATCGCCGAATGGAATGATGAAATCGCCGACTGGAATGATGAAATTGCGAATGGAATGATGGAATCGCCTATTAGAATGATGAAATCGCTGATTGAAATGATGAAATCGCCGAATGGAATGATGAAATTGCGAATGGAATGATGAAATTGCGAATGGAATGATGAAATCGCCGAATGGAATGATGGAATCGCCAAATAATATGATGAAATCGCCGATTGGAATGATGAAATTGATTATGGAATGAAATCGAACTATAGAAGGCGAATGGAATGATGGAATCGCCAATCTATCACATATCAATCACAAATCAATCACAAGGCAATCACAGATCAATCACAAGGCAATCACAGATCAGTCACAAGGCAATCACAGATCAATCACAAGGCAATCACAGATCAATCACAAGTCAATCAGAAGTCTGATAACTGACTTGTGGGGAGCTTGTGATGCATTGTAGTGACTCCTCCTACATACCTCATGGAATGATGGAATCGCCGAATGGAATGATGGAATCGCCGAATGGAATGATGAAATCGCCGAATGGAATGATGAAATTGATGGAATGAAATGAAATAAAATGAAATGAAATGAAATGAAATGAATGATGGAATGAAATCGAAATATAGAAGGCGGCTTTGGCGTTCCATACAAATCAATCACAGGGCAATCACATATCTATCACATATCAATCACAAATTAATCACAAGGCAATCACAGATCAATCACAAGGCAATCACAGATCAGTCACAAGGCAATCACAGATCAATCACAAGGCAATCACAGATCAATCACAAGTCAATCAGAAGTCAGATAACTGACTTGTGGGGAGCTTGTGATGCATTGTAGTGACTCCTCCTACATACCTCCTGGCTGAACAGTCACAGGGAAACTGCACAAGGCCTCATTGCCAGCACCATCCGTAGCTACGTACGTGACAGTAAACGTTCCCGGCCCGTAAGGCTGTCCAGGGCCCTGGCTTCCATCCTGAAGCCTCACAGTAGGAGGAAATCCTGAATTGTCTGTTGCCGTTGGGGTGGGGAACTGAATAACGACTTGGTTGGATCCAACAGGTATGGTTTCCGTGACTGGAGTAGTTGGGCAAACAAACACTGGTGGCACCCTATCAACTGCAAACATAAAGAACAATAGAGCAGACATGAGCAAACCTGGCTCACTCTTTAACTAACAGTCCGTAACAACTTGTTATGTAAGAACCATAGAGCTATATTAAATTACTAGAGTGCTAACTCATGTTCAAAGTGATGCCTGCTGGGTGCATCCTTGTTTGTACACAAACCTATGGAGAACTAGAAATTTTGTACGTATTTTGAACGTCTATTTGCATATCTGCGTTTGTATTCCGTACCGGTGCATCATCGAAGCCGATACGCCCAAAACCGAAACGAACTATCAGCAAATAAACGTGTCATTTTGTTCAACGCAAACAGCGCAACATGTGCGTGCCCCTTCGCTGCAGATGCTTTGCGCCGTGACATTTTTTAAACAGTCATGACGCGCTTAAATTGTTTGCATATATTCTACTGGCGCGTTGCATTTAGAGTACACTTTTAAAATTCAATCCATCTATTTTGATTGTGTTCTACAAACACGCACATAAATTCAAAATGTCTGCGCCCAGAGCGGCTTCAAAGAATGAAGAGTTAGCGCTCTAGTAATTTAATATAGCTCTATGGTAAAAGCCCTTTCAAAGTTTCAAGACCTCTTCATTGCTGCCAAATTGTTTTCAACTTCTTGGTGATGAAATGTTGGAAAGTGGAGTGTTATTACACCAGATTTGGGTGAAGGGTAATAACACTCCATTTTCCAGCATTTCATCATAGTACAAACACTCAGGTTTACTTGCATACATCTGTGAGTTGATGCAGTAATATTATACAACCCCAAAAAAACACATTATGGAAGAAACATAAGAACAAGATTTTCAATCCAAAAGTGACCCTCAATAAAATTTTCGATTTCATGGTATTATAGCATTGTCAATTTGCTGGAGCTGAATGCATTTCAATGACGGTACATTTTGCCAAAAAAGAATTATTTGTGATGAAAAATTCGCTATGTGGTATTGAAATTTGCTAATTAGAAGCAGTCAATGAACTCGGTGGTATTTTGTTTGGGTTAAATGTTGCATACTTGGGTCGAGAGAAGACAAATGCAGTGTTCTGTTTCAACCAGTAGACACTTATTACAGCATGACGATGAGCTGTGTTCAATTACATGTTGATATAATACAAACAAACTTGAGAGTAAAATATGAACAATGAACTTACCGACGGCGAAAGTGATAGTACAATCTGCAATGTTGCCAGCTTGATCAGTGGCTCGGTAGGTAATGCTGTATGATCCAAACCGGAAAAAGGTACCCGGTCCACTTTGGCCAGGAGGAAAGAGGGCAACAGTCGGAACACCATTGTTGTCAAAGGCAGAAGGAGTTGCCCAGTTGACCGTTGCTCCATCAGCAGTCCCTGTATTGATGACTACATCTGGAACAACTGGACAGGTGATGGTCGGAGAAGTGACATCTGCCAGAATTGGGAAGAAAAAAACAAATCAATATAACAAAGGTCAGGAAAACATCAGGTTTGATAGCTTTTGTGAGTTTGTCTTACATACGCAGTGTGGACTTCCGAACAAAAGACGTCCACATAATGTAGGTAGCACCGACGTTGTGTGGACTTACCCCACGTCCACACAGTGTTTCCCCATTTCTGGAAAACAGGTTTAGAGGCATTTTTGGGTTAGGTTTATCTGTAGCAGAATGAAGAGAAACACTAAAGGGAATCATTGAAAAAAAATTGGGTTGTAAGAGTTTTCACAGTTTGAGAAAAATGAGTTTTTCCACTGGTGTTCCTTAACTACACGAACAGAAAGGAAAGTCCACACTAGGTATGTGAAACAAGTCGGGGTGTGTGTGTGGGTGTATGTGAGTACGTAAACACCGGCAATCGTGCACCAACGGGCAATAAGTCCATGATTGACCGAACGTCCACGATTGAAATTCGTGTACAAAACCAATGAGAGCTGTTTCTAAAAAGAACAAACAAAGGAATGAGGATTAGGGACAACAGGGGGTCCATGATTGCCAGTGTTTACATAGATGGGTGTGTGAGTTTGTTTCTGCATTCAGTAGGGGATGTTGAACAATAGAGGACAATAGGGTCCCCAATTCCCGACAGGTCCCCAATTTACAATCGCGTACAAAAGAAAAGAGGGACAATAGGGGGTCCCCAATTGGGAGGCAAATACACACGTGCGCATTTGTTCATGGTGGAAATCGAGGACACTCACGTGCAACATCATCAGTGAATCAAGGACAGGAACCATATCGAGGACAACCTCATTTAGAAAAAGGGTACAAAACCAATGAGAGCTGTTGCGAAAAAAGTTAGAGTACAAACAAAGGAAAAGGGAAGGTGAACAAAAGAAAATCCTTGATAAACACCATCAACAAACGAGTTTGTTTATGGTGTAAATCGAGGACACACACATGCAACATCATCGGTGAATCGAGGACATGAACCAAATCGAGGAGGACCTTCATTAGAAATCGTGTACAAAACCAATGAGAGAGCTGCGAAAAAGTTGGAGTACAAACAAAGGAAAGGGAAGAGCAACAAAAGAAAATCCTCGATTTACACCATAAACAAATGTGGATGTGCATGTGTGTTTTTTGTTTTTGGGTTTTTGTGTGTTATTTTTGCATAAAGCAGTTTTAATCAAAACTTATGCACGCATATTGACTGTTTAAGTGTTAGGCCCCCCAGAAAAAAAATCAGTCTCTGGTCAGATCAAAGTTCCAGAATTGATGCGGCGATGCGTTTGTTTTTGTTTTCCCTTCCCCCCAAGCTTGGACAGTACAGACAAGGTGGGTACTATTTGTTTTTTGTGTCCTCATTTACCTTGGTGCCCTCCATCATTTGGAGTCGAGCTGCCCACGAAAATTGGAGACAGTGCGGCACAAGAGGGCGCTGCTGTAGCCACCACAGACCAACTATTCTGTGTTTGCCTTATGGTTGCATGTTTAAGTTTGTTCTAGGAATAGGGCAGCCACTGTACTCAATGAGCCCTTGCTTCATATAATAACCTGAAGACTGTGGTCCTACTACATTTCTAAAAAATCTCCACTATACTACAAAGTTTTATGTTTTCAACGACAAAAAATAAACACAAAAGGATATCTGAATGGTTTAGACTTTGATGTTGTCATGGGACAAATTGTTTCCAAAGGGGAATAACACCCGAGACTCTCTTGCATTCAAAGAAGGGCAAAAAGTCACGCAAAAACTTCACAAAATGCAATGGCAGGATGCTGAATGGGTGGTGGCAAATTGGTTATTTTTTTCAAGATCATTTCTTTTTTATCAACACCATTCGGATAAGTATAGAGCTTTGCCAGTTTAAGCAAATATTCTTAAACCCTAATTTTATCCTGCATTATCTTATATTTATGGTGCTACTGCAACAAAGTGCCTTATTATTATCCTTCACCATGCAACCTTCAAATCTCATTATCTTATTTTCAAGTGCATTTTATGGCTTGCTATATACGCATGGCACATTGTTCACTTTTGCTTGGTGGAGAACCCTAATTGGTCAAAAATTACTTTTGGTGGCCTTAAAAATGGGACTTTTCTTTAAACAGTCAAACTTGCCATTGGTGATTTCTACGCTGAATGTACAAGACGCAGAATTTCCATTCACGTCAGTTGCAGTGTAAACAATTACTGTCGTTGTGCCAGGTGTAAATACTGATCCCGAATCTGGTCCTTGAACTTTTGTGACTGTTGGAGTCAGTAAGGTGTTATCCGTAGCAGTTGCTGGTGTCCATACTACTCTGTTCCCGTTAATGCCGGCCTCCTGTTGAACGTTGATGGGACAGGTTATTACAGGCGGCACACGGTCGACTGGAAAAAGAAAAGAAAAAATGTACAGGATTAACAGGTTGAACTTACAAACATAGGGCATAGAAAATGCACATTTTCACGCTGACAAAAGAAACTAGAAATGTGTTTGTGGACAAACACTTAGCTGTTTCGAACAGTATGCTCTGCCCGTCGTCAGGCAGAGCATACTGTTCGAAGCGTTGAGTTCCTCCGGTTCTTTTCAGAACCACACATACTCACAAAAGAGATTCATTCACATGGTGCTACCGCAAACTTATCTTGTCTTAATACCCTTATATGTGACTCAAAAAATCACGTTTTTGATGACGTCATGGTGACGTCACACTTTTTACGAAATTTTGTGCATCTATCTTTCACCTAACAAACCTTTTACAAAAAGAATGAGTAAAAAGTCCAAATATTGAATAATTTATATACAACCATATGATGACATCATTGTGACGTCACTGCAATTTTTGTCTATAAAACATCCCGGAATACTTGCATACCGAGTTTGAACCCGATTCGGACTTCCCGTTCTGTAGAAAAAGGGTGTTAAAATCTAAACTTTTGGATGACGTCACGTGACACGTGATGACGTCATGATTCGGCCCGCATCTTCAGATGGTAGTCTAAGTGTGTGCCAAGTTTGAAGTCGATTGAATGTGAAAAAAGTCCCAAACATGTGTTTACACCGGAACAGCTGAAAAGACGCAGTGGGCAATTCATCATCTAGATATTAAACAGCTTATCAGACTGGCAGCCAGCTGGAAGAATGTACAGACATCTAGGCTGGAGAAAAAAAAAATGTGCTGTGCGGTATCTTAATAACACACCCAAGATCAATTTTTCTCAGTTTTCACAACACAGGCAGTTCGTGTTCTTCTTGATTATTAATTGGCATTTTTCCAGCGTGTATATTCTCACCATCTATTATATTATGAACGAAAGACAACACAAGAGCTTACCAACAGAGAAAGTGACATCACAATCTGCCGTGAGGCCTGCTGCATTAGTGGCTCGGTAGGTAATTGCGTAGCTTCCAAATACGAAAAAAGAACCAGGTCCATTTTGGGTATTTGGAAAAAGTGCCACAGTTGGAGTACCAAAATCATCGAATGCCTGAGGAGTTGCCCAGTTAACTGTTGCTCCATTATCAGTTCCTGTGCTAACCAACACATCAGCAACAGTTGGGCAGAAAATCTGAGGGGGGGTAGTATCTGTGATAAAAATTAAAATAAAAAAACAATATGCAATCCTCATATGGAACTGAAACAAATGAAATCCACATCAAATACATGCAATTTAATGAGACGAAATATGTAACGTATGCAAATTTATAAACAGAGTTTCAATGAAAATGTTTAAAAACTATGAAAAATATGAATTGCAACACGTTCCAAAAGCTTTGTGTGACAAGGTGCCTATAAGAGCCGACATATAATGTTTCTTAATTTCAAATCTATATGAGGCAACAAAAGAGCGATATATTTACTTCATATAAATGTTTGCAAGCAGTCATAATAGAAATGGAATATAACTTAAAATGACTACTTGCCTCCGGTGATTTGTACAGTGAATGAACACGTTCCACTATTTCCTGCCTGATCAGTTGCAGTATAGACTATTGTTGTCGTTGTTCCAGGTGTAAACGTAGATCCAGAAGTTGGTCCTGAAGTTTGTGTGATTGTTGGAGTCACTTGGGAGTTATCACTGCCAGATGGGGTTGGCCATGTTACTATATTCTGGTTTACTCCGATAGCCTGCATTATGTTAGCTGGACAGTTTGGAACTGGATTAACCCGGTCAACTGAAAAAGAAGGGGGAAAATGATTTCAGTGCCCTGTAACCGACTACTTTCATGCATAAATGCAAAAAAAAGTACTTCACTAACAAGGACTGATTCAATTAGATGGTAGTCTTGCGACACATTTCTTCAACGGGATAGCAATTGCTGACAAAACAATTCTTGATTTTACAACAAATTCTTTCCAGAATGTTGCATACGTGATTGCATACAACACTTTGCTTTCCCCGTGGTGCTCCCCATCTATCTGTTTGTGTCTGCGATTGAGAATTAATAATAGATCAATGAAATGTACACAAGAGCTTACCAACAGAGAAGGTGACAGAGCAATCTGTCGTGAGGCCTGCTGCATTAGTGGCTCGGTAGGTAATTGTGTAGCTTCCAAATACAAAAAAAGAACCAGGTCCATTTTGGGTATTTGGAAAAAGTGCAACAGTTGGAGTACCAAAATCATCGAATGCCGGAGGAGTTGCCCAGTTAACTGTTGCTCCATTATCATTTCCTGTGCTAACCGTCACATCAGCAACAGTTGGGCAGAAAATTGAAGGGGGGGTAGTATCTGTGATGAAATTAAAAAACAATATGCAATCCTCATATGGAACTGAAACAAATGAAATCCACATCAAATACATGCAATTTAATGAGACAAAATATGTAAGGTATGCCAATTTATAAACAGTGTTTCAATGAAAATGTCTCAAAACTGCAAAATATGAATCACATCAGCTTGAAAAAGCTTTGTGTGACAAGGTGCCTAAAAGAGCCGACATATTTTTTTTTTTAATTTCAAATCTGATGAGGCAACAAAAGAGGGAAATATTTACTTGATAAAAATGGTTGCCAGCAGTTATTATAGAAATGGAATACTACTTAAAATGACTACTTGCCTCCGGTGATTTGTACAGTGAATGAACACGTTCCACTATTTCCTGCCTGATCAGTTGCAGTATAGACTATTGTTGTCGTTGTTCCAGGTGTAAACGTAGATCCTGAAGTTGGTCCTGAAGTCTGTGCGATTGTTGGAGTCACTTGGGAGTTATCACTGCCAGATGGGGTTGGCCATGTTACTATATTCTGGTTTACTCCGATAGCCTGCATTATGTTAGCTGGACAGTTTGGAACTGGATTAACCCGGTCAACTGAAAAAGAAGGGGGAAAATGATTTCAGTGCCCTGTAACCGACTACTTTCATGCATAAATGCAAAAAAAAGTACTTCACTAACAAGGACTGATTCAATTAGATGGTAGTCTTGCGACACATTTCTTCAACGGGATAGCAATTGCTGACAAAACAATTCTTGATTTTACAGCAAATTCTTTCCAGAATGTTGCATACGTGATTGCATACAACACTTTGCTTTCCCCGTGGTGCTCCCCATCTATCTGTTTGTGTCTGCGATTGAGAATTAATAATAGATCAATGAAATGTACACAAGAGCTTACCAACAGAGAAGGTGACAGAGCAATCTGTCGTGAGGCCTGCTGCATTAGTGGCTCGGTAGGTAATTGTGTAGCTTCCAAATACAAAAAAAGAACCAGGTCCATTTTGGGTGGGTGGAAAAAGTGCAACAGTTGGAGTACCAAAATCATCGAATGCCGGAGGAGTTGCCCAGTTAACTGTTGCTCCATTATCATTTCCTGTGCTAACCGTCACATCAGCAACAGTTGGGCAGAAAATTGAAGGGGGGGTTGTATCTGTGATGAAATTAAAAAACAATATGCAATCCTCATATGGAACTGAAACAAATGAAATCCACATCAAATACATGCAATTTAATGAGACAAAATATGTAAAGTATGCCAATTTATAAACAGTGTTTCAATGAAAATGTCTCAAAACTGCAAAATATGAATCACATCAGCTGGAAAAAGCTTTGTGTGACAAGGTGCCTAAAAGAGCCGACATATTTTTTTTTTTAATTTCAAATCTGATGAGGCAACAAAAGAGGGAAATATTTACTTGATAAAAATGGTTGCCAGCAGTTATTATAGAAATGGAATATAACTTAAAATGACTACTTGCCTCCGGTGATTTGTACAGTGAATGAACACGTTCCACTATTTCCTGCCTGATCAGTTGCAGTATAGACTATTGTTGTCGTTGTTCCAGGTGTAAACGTAGATCCTGAAGTTGGTCCTGAAGTCTGTGCGATTGTTGGAGTCACTTGGGAGTTATCACTGCCAGATGGGGTTGGCCATGTTACTATATTCTGGTTTACTCCGATAGCCTGCATTATGTTAGCTGGACAGTTTGGAACTGGATTAACACGGTCAACTGAAAAAGAAGGGGGAAAATGATTTCAGTGCCCTGTAACCGACTACTTTAATGCATAAATGCAAAAAAAAAGTACTTCACTAACAAGGACTGATTCAATTAGATGGTAGTCTCGCGACACATTTTCTTCAACGGGATAGCAATTGCTGACAAAACAATTCTTGATTTTACAACAAATTCTTTCCAGAATGTTGCATACGTGATTGCATACAACACTTTGCTTTCCCCGTGGTGCTCCCCATCTATCTGTTTGTGTCTGCGATTGAGAATTAATAATAGATCAATGAAATGTACACAAGAGCTTACCAACAGAGAAGGTGACAGAGCAATCTGTCGTGAGGCCTGCTGCATTAGTGGCTCGGTAGGTAATTGTGTAGCTTCCAAATACAAAAAAAGAACCAGGTCCATTTTGGGTAGGTGGAAAAAGTGCAACAGTTGGAGTACCAATGTCATCGAAGGCCGGAGGAGTTGCCCAGTTAACTGTTGCTCCATTATTATTTCCTGTGCTAACCGTCACGTCAGCAACAGTTGGGCAGAAAATTGAAGGGGGGGTAGTATCTGTGATGAAATTTAAAAAACAATATGCAATCCTCATATGGAACTGAAACAAATGAAATCCACATCAAATACATGCAATTTAATGAGACAAAATATGTAAGGTATGCCAATTTATAAACAGTGTTTCAATGAAAATGTCTCAAAACTGCAAAATATGAATCACATCAGCTTGAAAAAGCTTTGTGTGACAAGGTGCCTAAAAGAGCCAACATATTTTTTTTTTTAATTTCAAATCTGATGAGGCAACAAAAGAGCGAAATATTTACTTGATAAAAATGGTTGCCAGCAGTTATTATAGAAATGGAATACTACTTAAAATGACTACTTGCCTCCGGTGATTTGTACAGTGAATGAACACGTTCCACTATTTCCTGCCTGATCAGTTGCAGTATAGACTATTGTTGTCGTTGTTCCAGGTGTAAACGTAGATCCTGAAGGTGGTCCTGAAGTCCGTGCGATTGTAGGAGTCACTTGGGAGTTATCACTGCCAGATGGGGTTGGCCATGTTACTATATTCTGGTTTACTCCAATAGCCTGCATTATGTTAGCTGGACAGTTTGGAACTGGATTAACACGGTCAACTGAAAAAGAAGGGGGAAAATGATTTCAGTGCCCTGTAACCGACTACTTTAATGCATAAATGCAAAAAAAAAGTACTTCACTAACAAGGACTGATTCAATTAGATGGTAGTCTCGCGACACATTTTCTTCAACGGGATAGCAATTGCTGACAAAACAATTCTTGATTTTACAACAAATTCTTTCCAGAATGTTGCATACGTGATTGCATACAACACTTTGCTTTCCCCGTGGTGCTCCCCATCTATCTGTTTGTGTCTGCGATTGAGAATTAATAATAGATCAATGAAATGTACACAAGAGCTTACCAACAGAGAAGGTGACAGAGCAATCTGTCGTGAGGCCTGCTGCATTAGTGGCTCGGTAGGTAATTGTGTAGCTTCCAAATACAAAAAAAGAACCAGGTCCATTTTGGGTGGGTGGAAAAAGTGCAACAGTTGGAGTACCAATGTCATCGAAGGCCGGAGGAGTTGCCCAGTTAACTGTTGCTCCATTATTATTTCCTGTGCTAACCGTCACGTCAGCAACAGTTGGGCAGAAAATTGAAGGGGGAGTAGTATCTGTGATAATAACAAAGAATATTAAAAAAAATAAAATAATATGCAATCCTCATGTGGAACTGAGACAAATGAAATACACATCAAAAACATGCAATTTGATGAGACAAAATATGTAAGGTATGCCAATTTATAAACAGTGTTTCAATGAAAATGTCTCAAAACTATGCAAAATATGAATCACATCAGCTTGAAAAAGCTTTGTGTGACAAGGTGCCTAAAAGAGCCAACATATTGGGGTTTTTTTTAATTTCAAATCTGATGAGGCAACAAAAGAGCGATATATTTACTTCATATAAATGGTTGCCAGCAGTTATTATAGAAATGGAATATAACTTAAAATGACTACTTGCCTCCGGTGATTTGTACAGTGAATGAACACGTTCCACTATTTCCTGCCTGATCAGTTGCAGTATAGACTATTGTTGTCGTTGTTCCAGGTGTAAACGTAGATCCTGAAGGTGGTCCTGAAGTCCGTGCGATTGTAGGAGTCACTTGGGAGTTATCACTGCCAGATGGGGTTGGCCATGTTACTATATTCTGGTTTACTCCAATAGCCTGCATTATGTTAGCTGGACAGTTTGGAACTGGATTAACACGGTCAACTGAAAAAGAAGGGGGAAAATGATTTCAGTGCCCTGTAACCGACTACTTTAATGCATAAATGCAAAAAAAAAGTACTTCACTAACAAGGACTGATTCAATTAGATGGTAGTCTCGCGACACATTTTCTTCAACGGGATAGCAATTGCTGACAAAACAATTCTTGATTTTACAACAAATTCTTTCCAGAATGTTGCATACGTGATTGCATACAACACTTTGCTTTCCCCGTGGTGCTCCCCATCTATCTGTTTGTGTCTGCGATTGAGAATTAATAATAGATCAATTAAATGTACACAAGAGCTTACCAACAGAGAAGGTGACAGAGCAATCTGTCGTGAGGCCTGCTGCATTAGTGGCTCGGTAGGTAATTGTGTAGCTTCCAAATACAAAAAAAGAACCAGGTCCATTTTGGGTAGGTGGAAAAAGTGCAACAGTTGGAGTACCAATGTCATCGAAGGCCGGAGGAGTTGCCCAGTTAACTGTTGCTCCATTATTATTTCCTGTGCTAACCGTCACATCAGCAACAGTTGGGCAGAAAATTGAAGGGGGAGTAGTATCTGTGATAATAACAAAGAATATTTAAAAAAAATAATAATATGCAATCCTCATGTGGAACTGAGACAAATGAAATACACATCAAAAACATGCAATTTGATGAGACAAAATATGTAAGGTATGCCAATTTATAAACAGTGTTTCAATGAAAATGTCTCAAAACTATGCAAAATATGAATCACATCAGCTTGAAAAAGCTTTGTGTGACAAGGTGCCTAAAAGAGCCAACATATTTTTTTTTTTTAATTTCAAATCTGATGAGGCAACAAAAGAGCGAAATATTTACTTGATAAAAATGGTTGCCAGCAGTTATTATAGAAATGGAATATAACTTAAAATGACTACTTGCCTCCGGTGATTTGTACAGTGAATGAACACGTTCCACTATTTCCTGCCTGATCAGTTGCAGTATAGACTATTGTTGTCGTTGTTCCAGGTGTAAACGTAGATCCTGAAGGTGGTCCTGAAGTCCGTGCGATTGTAGGAGTCACTTGGGAGTTATCACTGCCAGATGGGGTTGGCCATGTTACTATATTCTGGTTTACTCCGATAGCCTGCATTATGTTAGCTGGACAGTTTGGAACTGGATTAACACGGTCAACTGGGGAAAAAAAACAATTCAGAAATCTGTCACTGGCAACTTTGCATTATCGATTTACAATACTCCATATTAAGAGGCAGGAACAAATAACACAGCGGTTTTTCAACACATTTTCTCAAAAAGGGTAAGCAATTGGCGAAAAAGACAATGCTTGATTTCACAGCAAAATCCTTCCTTTGTGATTAAACATACCCTAATGGTTTACGCCACATTTAAACAAAAATTAAAAGTGAGGCTAGAATGCATAAATAGTCTGGCACCACCCATTCAACATTTGACAATTTGTAAAATACCTTCAGGGAACACAACCAAAATGGCTACCTCGTGAGTAAGGTCCATACTATAGTCGTGGCCAGAGGAGTGTTTCAGAAAACTGAAGTAAAATTGCTGAACAAAATTGTGGAAAATTAGTGAATTTTTCACTTGTTTTGACTTCTGAACCGAAAGGCATTGATGAATGGGCACAAATATGTGCTTGGTTGGTATTAAACAGTTTAAAATTGGCTAGGGCCTCTAGGGGCCTGGTTGTGGGCCATTATCCTCATCCTGGCCTCTAGGGGCCTGGTTGTGGGCCATTATCCTCATCCTGGCCTCTAGGGGCCTGGTTGTGGGCCATTATCCTCATCCTGGCCCGCATCTGGTTTAAAAGAACCTCTTTAAAACGGGCCAAGCACATATATACACATGTATATTCTAATTCGAAGCCTGTGCACATTCAGTTCTTTTACATGGTTTTAGATTGACATGTTGATTCTCTTGCACTAATGCAGTTAACTTCTGTGGCTGATGGTTTGAAATCCACCAAATCATGCTAACAATGGGCTATTCATATTTAAAAGCCTGTATGTGATTCAAACCCTAGGTGTTATGTGTTCTTGGTGAATCTCTTCTGTGGTTTGCACATAATCGGGTGCTTCTGTAACACATGATTAGGGCTGTGCATCTGAACTGGTGTCAGAAACCAGCTCCAGACTATGAGATCGGGTATCCGTAGCCAACTTCACCAATATCTTAACAAGATAACTTCCCAGGCATTGACAATGCCATTTGTGGGGACTTTCCAAAATGAAATGTGGCAGCATCATCGGTCCTTTATGAAAAATCTAAACAGCAACTTGCGAGATGTGAATGTTGGGGTTGGGCTTCTCTATCAACAGGTACCCGGCTACCTGTGTGATTTTTCAATCGGGTACCCGGTTCCGGCACTACTCGTAAATGCACTTCCCTTCACATGATGTAGCGATGTTTTCAAACCTTTCTTTTGAACAGACACTTATCATCCCATGAGAAAAACTGAAGTTCATGCACTAAGAATCAGAAAACTTCAAACACAATATGAATTGATGCACACTGAAACAGACACTAACTCTAGGCCGCGTGTTTTATGTTTGTCTCCCCACCACTTCAATTAAACATACTAAAGACCTTACCAACAGAGAAAGTGACAGAACAATCTGCCGTGAGGCCTACTGCATCGGTGGCTCGGTAGGTAATTGTGTAGCTTCCAAACACGAAAAAAGAACCTGGTCCACTCTGGGTAGGTGGAAAAAGTGCAACAGTTGGAGTACCAGAGTTATCAGATGCCTGAGGCGTTGCCCAGGTAACTGTTGCTCCATTATTATTTCCTGTGCTAACCGTCACATCAGCAACAGTTGGGCAGAAAATTGAAGGGGGCGTAGTATCTCCTGAAAAGAGCAAGAAAAAAAAAGGAGCAAACAAATGAAACATACCAGCATCAACATGTGTTAATCTAGGGCCGTGGTGAACAACTAAAAAAAATATTGTCATTGTAAAAAAAAAATCTTTTTAACTCATATTAATTCATTTGTTTCTTGTATTACCTAAAGGATATTGTTAAAATGCATATAATCATGCTCTATATAAACACCATATAATGAATGTTTGTTTGTGCAGTGGTAAGAATAATTTCTGAAAAGTTGAACAAAGAAATTGACAGGAGCGGGTTTTGAACCTGCGACCTCGGATAACGGTTCCGGTGCTCTACCAACTGAGCTATCCAGCCCTATGTCGGTGGTTCCCCAATTAGTCAATATCTTTGTTCGTAACGACACTAGTCAGAATAATTTCATTAGGTGAAAAATGGAATGTTCCACTCCACGAGGTTAAGCCGAGTGGCATCATGGAATGACATTTTTCTTTCAATTGCGCGAATGTGAAACATTCATTAATTGTTTCATACAACACCTGAATACTCCTGGTCATCTGATTGGTCGGAGCTGCCTAAAAGTGTGAACATGCAATCTGAAATTCCAGTTACCCTGGAATGGAACTTCTACTTTTGTTGTGCAGCTGTGCTGTGCGTTGGGACAAATAACAGAATGACACCTGATCAAAGTCCCACTAATCAGAAGACGTCCATTTATTCAGGCATTGTATAAACCCAACTACTACATAAGATTTTGACCCTTCACAATGCAAGTACCTCTGACCAAATATTGGAACAAGTATCTGATACATGTCAGTGGCTCACCCAGGATTTGGCTTGGGGGGGGGGGGGGGCTCAACAATTGTTTTTTCACATTTTTAAAAAGTTAAATTTTTTGTCAAAAATCTTGCCCAAAATTTTTGGCAGCAGAAAAAAAAAGGGGGGGGGGACTATTTTGATGTTGGTGGCACCACACACTTCTATTATATTACTCTGAAAAAGTCCACTTACATATCACCAAGGTCAAAATGTGGGACTAAAAAAAAAATACCAAAAATTAAAATTAAAAATTGACAACCTCTTTGGGGGGGGGGGGGGGGGGGGCTCAAGCCTCCCGAGGCCCCCCCCCCCTTGGGTGCACCACTTATACACGTATTGATGACAGCAACATGATAACTTGATGACTGTTTTCTTACCTGCGCCGACTGTTATAGTATAGGAACAAGAGTCTGTCCTCCCACTTTGCGTATCAGTCCCGACAATAAAAACATTGGTTGAAGAAGGCGAGCCAACTGTGACCATATTGTTTGTAACTGGCACAGTGGTTCCTCCAGATATCGCAGTATATACAAATGTCACTGCTCCTGTGTTGCCCGACACTAATGGTTGTTCAAGCTGAATCGTTTGAGCAGTTGATGTTATGATGTCTAAGCTAGCACGGCACGTAATTTCAAAGATAGCGGCTGTGGCAAAGAAGAAACAGAAGGAAAGAATAACAACTATTGAATTAACAAGGAGCTTATTGTTCAATACATTTCCTTGCAACATGTTTTCATGCAAACATCCAATGTTGAATATTTAATGTGTGTTCTGATATTGATGCAACATAAAAAGCACATTCATAAATACCTCAGACAGTTTAGCCATTCCTATTGGTCGAGAGCCCGTCACGTGGCCGGTTTTAAACGGATGATAAAGACATGGCTAGCTGGTCTTAAACACTTTTCCAGTGTCACAATAAAATGTGGACTCCTAAAAATCCAGTGCCTCTTACCGTTTCATTGGTTGAACGTTCACAATCCTCACGTAGGCATGCGCAACACTACAAGCGAGTCAGAATTTTATAGTTCTAAATTCAAAACGCAACGCCCCAGGTGCGTTCTGCGTGACATCGCGCAGAACATGTTACGCGCGCGTCAATCTCCATAAAAGGGTTGTTTACATCTTACTCGCCAGCTGAACACTCCATTATTTTGCTAGAGGGATGTTTCAAAAAACATGAAGTGAACTTGTTGAACAAAATCGGGATTTTTTGAACGAATTATTTGATATTTTTGTACGGATAAGGTATTTATGAATGGGAATAAATATGTGCTCGGTCGGTATTTATCACTCTGTTTAATACCGCTTAGAGTCTGGGTGCTGATAATTACCCTCGCCTCCGGCTCGGGTAATTATCATTACCCACACTCTAAGCGGTATTAAACGAGTGATAAAAACCTCCGGAGCACACATTTATTCCCTTATTAAAAGTTTGCTTTTAGAATTTATTTATTTATTTTTTTTTATTTTTTTTTATAGGGACAGGTATGCAGCTTACAGCAATGCTGATAACATTTTGCATTTGTTTCTATAGCATATTTCACCTTAGCATGTAAATTGTACTGTTATGCAGGCCTTCTTTTTTCCTATGATTTTAAAGAATACACGCATGAAGGTGCCAGTGAAGAGGGAGGCCTGTCCCGAGTATATTGCATACTCGAATATTCGATCAACAACTGAAAATTCAAATGGCTTTTTCATAGGTTGAATTTTTGAAAACAAAACAAAAACTGTGCATATACACACAGCTGGGATGTTATTTTGATATAAAATTGTTTCACTTTATTATAAGGTGTCACTTTTTTGTCGACAGTAACGTTTTTGTAGGCGGTCGTTCATTGTACACATCTTTTCAGCAGGTTAAAGCCCTTTTACAGTTATAATAACTGCAATACACTTCAGTGCCCCATATCGATTGCCGCTGGCAGTTTCAAATATTTGAATATTCGGTCAAACGCAGTTTTGAGTAATCGAATACTAAAGTATTCAAAACTGGACAGCCCTAGGAAGAGCCGGTATTAATGTGGGTGTATCTGCTCCTGGGCTCCGTTAATTTCTTCTCAACTAGCCATCTTTTGAGGTTTTTTTATTCAGTTAAAGGGAGAGAAAGTGCCCAAGTGGGTTATAAAAAGTGTTTTAAATGAAATGGTATTAATTAGAAAGAGTATTTAAAAGTAGACTATAAACTTCACTTTAGGATAAGGTGTCACTTATCAGTTTTCTACAATATCTAGTGTTTTTTACATTTAAGACTAATGTTTAATTCTAATCTGTACTTTTAATATTTTAGCTACTGTTCAGATTTTGCAATGCGCATTTGAACATTTTGTGGTATATGCGCATACTAAATGCAATTTTATTTATTATTATTATTAACTTCTACACAGCCAGCCTATAAAAATTGGCTGCTTTTGTGTAATTCTCTCTATTACCAGATGGAATTTTGCGTCGGGTGATATAAATCAAATTAGGTTTTGCCCTTCACCGACGTTTAAACACTGTATACTCAGTGTGTTACCTCCCGAAAGAAAGTTGGAAAAAATCACTCGGGTGGGACTCGAACCCACGACCTCCTGCTTTCTAGTGCAGATGTCTTACAACTCGACCACCGAGCTAACGGGAATTTTGCATTGGGGTGATATAAATCAAATTAGGTTTTGCCCTTCACCGATGTTTAAACCCTAATTTGATTTATATCACTCCGACGCAAAATTCCATCTTGTAATAGTTTAACCTAGTAGGTTTTAGTGTGTGATGCACTGTGCATGTGTGGCCCGTGGCCGACAGACCTCGTTTTACGGTCGAAAATTTCGGGAAACACGCTGCATGTATCACTACAAATACGAGTAGTGCGATCTCAAAATGAACTCTTGAACACGGAAAATACATACACAGACAAGATAGATCAATTCTGTGAATTAACTTGCAAAAATGTTCTTTCTCCATCGGTGTTTTCTTGGCATTTCGAAATCCGACCAGTTGACACTGACAGTGCACGTGCCTAATGCATATATAGCCATGCTAGCGCTAGCGATCGCATAGCCATGACAGACTGGTTACCGCACTTTCATCATGTCTTCTAAATTGGCCCCGGCACGGCATGGCAGGAACCAGTTGTCACTGCATTGAGCAAGGTTTACGCACGTGATTATAGTCACCATGACATCGAATTGCCAGGTATGATGACAGATCGCGAAGCGAATTTGGTTTCTTTTGAAAAAAGAGCGAATGTAAGTAAGAAAACAAATAAATACAAGCATTTTTTTGACGCAAATGGGTTGTTGAGAGGTATTTTGTGAAGACAGAAAAGACAACAAGCTTTTATTTTTATTTATTCAAGAAATGCATCTTGTAGACCTTTGAATCCAATTTTCAGACTTGTTCATCTCTAATTCTTTGCATTGCAGCCAACCTTACGGTGTTTGCTTTTGTTGCATGGCCAGTCCTCTTGTGAGTTCATTTTTGAACATCATCCTGAAATTGCTGAAATTTGTAGTTTAAGGTTGTTTACTTATCCTATTTCAAAGGTCTGTTTGAAAGAAAACTTTGTTTCCCAAACCCTTCTATTTATTAGATATTTTTGCATAAGTCATAAAATGGTAAACAATTTATTAAGCATGTACTCCCCTACTGAAAGAGTCACATACCATATGTAATCATAGGGTATGAAAACTTCTTTTTTTTTTGTAAGCGGAGATGTTAACTAATACTTTCATTCACATTAAAACCACATGCACCGGTATATGAAATTCAATTTTCCCTACCTTGTTGAACCAAGACAGTGAACATGCAGAATGCGTTGTTGCCAGCTGCATCTTGGGCTTGGTACCGGATGGTGTATTGTCCAGCAGCCAAGTTAGTGCCAGGAGAAACCCCTTGAATCTGTGTCACAGTGGGTGTGCCTTGGTTGTCTGTTGCTTGTGGTACAGCCCAACTTACAAACGCCGTTGACCCACTAGTGATTGTGAAGACCTGCGATGTTGTGGGACAGTTAGTAAATGTTGGTGGAGTGGTGTCACCACCTGAGAATGAGAAAAACAGTACAAACAATAATGACGTCAAGCTTAGTAAGAGCTGGTCCCAGGGTACACAAAATTATATTCAATTGAATCGATTCAACATGTCTATTCACTGGAAGTCTTGTCGTGCATGAGCCTGCGTAACAGTTATGCCAACTTTAGAATACTCTTGTACTGTATGGGAAGGAAGGTGCATATCTCACGACAACATTCTCAACGAATGTCTGAAAAGAGCTGCACGGATGATCCTTAAATGTACCTCCCTCAGCCATTTAGTGGATATGTTTGCAAGACTAATCTGGGCTCCATTTTAACTGTTTGGGCATACCCTGGGTAATGAAATGGAATAAACTAGAGGTTCGCGTTTGTTGAGTTTCAAACGCAGAGTGGTCGGGCAGAATATTTCATTAATCACTGCCCAGTTAATTAATGAATATTTTAGTGTCAGAACAAAGGATCACATAATTTAACCTTTCCAGTACAACCATTCATTTGATTAAAAAAAAAATGCATCTTTTAGGCTATGATAAATTTCAGAATTTCAGTATACCTGTTATGTACACGTACAAGGTATTTCTGATTTGACGACGTCATCAGTCAAAAAAGGGGAAGTGAATATTACTTTAGTTCGGACAGGATACATGTTCAATACAAAGTCTAGTTAAACTATAAGTGTATGGGCTCTGTGCGCGACCAAAAGAGGGCGCGTGTTTGCCTCTTTTGAGAGCTCCGTGGATGGAGAACACAGCGTGCGTGTACTGTACTGTACTGGTTCGTGCACAAAGTACGCACGGTTTCCTGAGTGTGCAAAAAATATAGCAACCGCATCTTCGCGTGAGCGTCAGGCTTCGTCGGCGCGCGAATACATTTGAATTCAACTTGCAATGGTCTCCGAGACTAATCTCCGCCTCCAATAACTTTGGAGACATTCGAAATACGCAGTGGATGGATCGGGAACCAGTCTAGATCACCCCAACTCTCCTTTTCTGGCCGTTGATGGGGTACTTGTGCACGGAGCGGATTACACCTAACTTCCGGTTTGATGACGTCACTGCATTAGGGATCCAAAGGCCAACATTGTAACAGATATCATTATTTGGGCAACGAACATCGTCATAAGACAGGGATCAAATAATAGAATTAATTAAAAATGATTGTTTTCAAATTCTCCCTACAGTAACTTCCTGTCTGATGACGTCATGATTTTGAAACCTTTCAAAGTTATCATTGTGGTTAATAAAAAAAATATCAAAAGGCAATTCAGTAAATTTTGCTGGATGGTTTTCAAACTTAAAACAAGCACACTACATTTGATATACTGCTAGAGGGCGCCCTTTCATATGATGACGTCATCATGCTGTTTTTTGTGTCTGGCATTCCTCACGAAACACTTCCATAATGTATTTGTATATAGTAAAATGCTTCCGCTTTCAAATTATATACAATTTTTATTGCGTTTCCGGTAACACCTAAAGTGTTGCTCAAGCCACCGTCTACAACCTCACGAAAAATGAACACGATACTCTATATAGTTCAAACGATACACCCCAAACTGTTTCGTCAAATGTTTACCTTAAATCGCTTGTAATTGATACCTGATGACGTCATGATGACATCATAAGTTTTTTTACATCTTGGAACAGGGCTTCAAGTTCAAAGCAGGTTTTATCATAATTCCACAAATCGTTCAAAAGAAATTCGATTTGTTTTGATTTTGAGGCTTCTGTCTGTATTATAAATTCACCATGATGTTGACCTTCCGGTAGACCCGGAAGTAACGATCAAGCAAGTTCACGCACAGAACAAGAACGTTTTATCAAGTAAAGGTCTATCTGATCATACAGAGTGAACATGATTGATCATGTTGTTCAAGAGATATAAGTGAAAGAAGTTGGTCATTTTTTCAACAAAAATCGCTTGTAACTTGACACCCAATGACGTCATCATGTCGTCAGAGTAATATGCACCACTTGGGATGAGGGTCGTGGATGTTGAAAGTTACAAGTTCATACCATACATAGGAGAAAACTCGCGGAGAATTATTGTCCCCAAAAAAAAAAAAAAACAGAGAAGATTAATCAGCACAATTTTAAACAGTGGTCGGGTTGTGCCCGACCACTCAATAAATAAATAAACAATCATATTCACTGGCGTTATGAGGTAACCTGGGCTAAGGTAAGACTTCAGTCTAATTCACAATTCGGGTGATTCACAATGCAGTGTACCACCAAGAGTTTGCCACAGAGAGTTCATTTTTCCCAGTGCATTGTGGGAGATGGTCGACGAATTCGCAGCGCGGGATATTTGACATTGTTCGTTTTTCCAGTTAGTAATTTTATAAGCGTATGATTCGAGTATATGTTTGCCCTTTTCTTTTCTTTTTATCAATGTGGTGATTTTGGGTAAGGCGGCAGAACGCTATGTCCAAATCTATAACAAATTAGCTCAAATTGTCTACTGACACGCATTCAAATGAGCCATGTTTTGTCGACCGTAAACTTGAAAAGTGGACTCTTCATGGCAAACTCTTGGTGGCGCATTGCATTGTGAATCGCCCGAATTGACAGTGAGTCAATGAGGGAAAATTAGGGCTATAGGCTGGACCTCCCTCGGACCAGCAAATAATAGAACTGATCATATTAATATGGCTGCAAAACATCTTGTAGACCTTTGAATCCAATTTTCAGACTTGTTCATCTCTAATTCTTTGCATTGCAGCCAACCTTACGGTGTTTGCTTTTGTTGCATGGCCAGTCCTCTTGTGAGTTCATTTTTGAACATCATCCTGAAATCGCTGAAATTTGTAGTTTAAGGTTGTTTACTTATCCTATTTCAAAGGTCTGTTTGAAAGAAAACTTTGTTTCCCAAACCCTTCTATTTATTAGATATTTTTGCATAAGTCATAAAATGGTAAACAATTTATTAAGCATGTACTCCCCTACTGAAAGAGTCACATACCATATCTAATCATAGGGTATGAAAACTTTTTTTTTTTTGGAAGCGGAGATGTTAACTAATACTTTCATTCACATTAAAACCACATGTACCGGTGTATGAAATTCAAATTTCCCTACCTTGTTGAACCAAGACGGTGAACATGCAGAATGCGTTGTTGCCAGCTGCATCTTGGGCTTGGTACCGGATGGTGTATTGTCCAGCAGCCAAGTTAGTGCCAGGAGAAACCCCTTGAATCTGTGTCACAGTGGGTGTGCCTTGGTTGTCTGTTGCTTGTGGTACAGCCCAACTTACAAACGCCGTTGACCCACTAGTGATTGTGAAGACCTGCGATGTTGTGGGACAGTTAGTAAATGTTGGTGGAGTGGTGTCACCACCTGAGAATGAGAAAAACAGTACAAACAATAATGACGTCAAGTTTAGTAAGAGCTGGTCCCAGGGCACACAAAATTATATTCAATTGAATCGATTCAACATGTCTATTCACTGGAAGTCTTGTCGTGCATGAGCCTGCCTAACAGTTATGCTAACTTTAGAATACTCTTGTACTGTATGGGAAGGAAGGTGCATATCTCACGACAACATTCTCAACGAATGTCTGAAAAGAGCTGCACGGATGATCCTTAAATGTACCTCCCTCAGCCATTTAGTGGATATGTTTGCAAGACTAATCTGGGCTCCATTTTAACTGTTTGGGCATACCCTGGGTAATGAAATGGAATAAACTAGAGGTTCGCGTTTGTTGAGTTTCAAACGCAGAGTGGTCGGGCAGAATATTTCATTAATCACTGCCCAGTTAATTAATGAATATTTTAGTGTCAGAACAAAGGATCACATAATTTAACCTTTCCAGTACAACCATTCATTTGTTTAAAAAAAAATGCATCTTTTAGGCTATGATAAATTTCAGAATTTCAGTATACCTGTTATGTACACGTACAAGGTATTTCTGATTTGACGACGTCATCAGTCAAAAAAAGGGGAAGTGAATACTACTTTAGTTCGGACAGGATACATGTTCAATACTGTGTGCGACCAAAAGAGGGTGCGTGTTTGCCTCTTTTGAGAGCTCCGCGGACGGAGAACACAGCGTGCGCGTACTGTACTATCGCTTGTAATTTGATACCTGATGACGTCATGATGACATCATAAGTTTTTTTATATCTTGGAACAGGGCTTCAAGTTCAAAGCAGGTTTTATCATAATTCCGCAAATCGTTCAAAAGAAATTCGATTTGTTTTGATTTTGAGGCATCTGTCTGTATTATAAATTCACCATATGTTGACCTTCCGTAAGACTTAAGTCTAATTCACAATTCGGGCGATTCACAATGCAGTGCACCACCAAGAGTTTGCCACAGAGAGTTCATTTTTCTTAGTGCATTGTGGGAGATGGTCGACAAATTCGCAGCGCGGGACATTTGACATTGTTTGTTTTTCCAGTCAGTAGTTTTATAAGCGTATGATTCGTGTATACGTTTGCCCTTTTCTTTTCTTTTTATCAATGTTGTGATTTTGGGTAAGGCGGCAGAACGCTAGGCCCAAATCTAAAACAAATTAGCTCAAATTGTCTACTGACACCCATTCAAGTGAGCCATGTTTTGTCGACCGTAAACTTGAAAAGTGGACTCTTCATGGCAAACTCTTGGTGGCGCACTGCATTGTGAATCGCCCGAATTAACAGCGAGTCAATGAGGGAAAATTAGGGCTATAATCTGGACCTCCCTTGGACCAGCAAATAATAGAACTGATCATATTAATATGGCTGAAAAACAGATTCCTATGATTTGTGGAGTCAGAGCAGTCTGCATAGATACCAGACTCATGTGCCTAGAAACTGACCTGTAACAGTGATTACAACCGTGAAGACACATCTAGCAACCTGCTCTCTTGTATCTTGGAAGCGGTATTCCACTGGTGTTGTGCCAACAGGGAAAGCAGTGTTGGGAGAGTGAGTCTGCATGACAAGCCGCACATGCCCACCGTCATCGTAAGCTGTTGGTTCTGTCCATGTCACAAAACCACTGGTGCCACTGGTCACTGTCTGGTCGATATTTGTTGGACAGCTTGTGATGACCGGTGAATACTGGTCACTTGCTGTATGATGAGATACAAAACAACAAGTCTGAGTGCACGATAAGCTCTGGCCGTCTTGCATGAAAGTCTTGCATGATCTATCAAAATGATTCCTGCCATAATAACTCCTGTATAACATTATTGCACATATTGCCTCCTTTACAAACTTTTCATAAACATCTTTCCGAATTGTTACAAATAGTTTTTGTTCAGTATTTCATTTCTTTTGTTTGTTTGTTTTTTTCAAATTAAAATTTGGCAGTTATATTTTGTGGGAAACTTATGGGGCTTATTTTGGTCAATTTTTGGGGACAGACAGACAGACAGACAGACGGACTGACCACCAAGTAGCATGTAGAAGCTGATGCCAGAGCTTAAAAAGAAAGGTAAATTATGCAGGTGTGTTACACTGCTGTATGCACAGGCCAAATTTTGTGACGTCAAATTTTAAGTGGCATTCAGCACATGCCTGCACACTAAATGCATATTAGTTTTGCCTAATACCGTACTGCCACTCAATTTGAAGTAACAACTCAGAAAAATCCCGTGTGCATGAGGGTGTGAGAATAACCTGAAATGCATGAGTCTCACGCTCAATGGGGGAGGGTTGGCAGCCCTGCTCAAGTACACCAAGTTCAAACTTTATGATTTACTCAGAAGGTGACGACTTTTCAAATTACCACAAGGCCCAAATCTTGATTGGGCCTAATTATAAACGCAGTGAAACTAACTTAATTCAGTGAATCTTATGAAATTTCAGAGCACAGAGCTCTGTTTGTCCGTTGCGATACTCTAATTAAAACTTAACATAATTATTCAACTTTCTCAGCTCCTCTCAGAATGTAGCCAAACAAATGTGGGCAGCATCACTCACTGTTTTTCGCTCTTTGTAGTACAAATGTGCCGACTGTACGAGCAGTAGTTATGTTAATCTAAGACTAAGTTAAGCTGTGGAAAATGTTCAGTATAAAAGTACTAAGGGGATTAAGTGTGGTAGAGCACTTATAAATGTTTGCATTGTTAGTTATAACTTCTTCATCAGTTTAAGTGCTTGCCGTTTTTCAATGGCTGTCCAAAACCAACGATGTTGACCAAAACACTATCCAAAGTGTACAAATGGGGTTTTGAAATAAAACAGTCTTGAATTGGTGAATGGAGAATTTGGGTTATAAAACTTAAGCAAGACTGAGAATTCTAGTTGCAGGATACTGTGGGAATTGAAATTTGCTGTAAAGCTGATGTATGGCAACTCAAGTCAAATTTAAAATGTCATTGAACTTACGTATTCTTCGCACTATGAAAGAACAGGAGGCTCGGTTGCCAGTACCATCAACAGTATTGTAGGTGACAGTGGTGAAACCCTCCTGGACTACTGATCCTGGGGTTAAAGTTGAGGTGGTGGAGACGATCCCTGAAGCATCAGTTGGTGTTGGTGGAGTCCAGGTGGCAATGCCACCTGCACTAGCAACCACATCAGCAGGGCAGGTCAAAGAAGGCACCACACCATCCGTTCCTAATTGGACAAATTTTTTTGGGGGGTAAAGTTTGGCATCAACAACATAATTTAAATTTAGCTCTATATTCATGATATTTATGCAATAAGAAATGACTTTTCAAGCAGGCCACAATACTTCTTCTTTTCAAAGGGGATTTATAACATTCTTCTAGAGTCCAGCTATAATTGGAAAGGACCTACATTTCCCAAGTCAACCATTATTTGCATAAATGAAGATCAAATACAAAAGTACAAATGTAGTATGCTGAGTAGACTCCAAAATCGGACCTCAAGAGGACAACAGCGTTGAGATACATACATACCTGTAGTGGAAACAGTCACTGTGAACATGCACTGAGCTTGTGAGTTGGCATTGCTTGGGTCGATCCACTGATAAGTAACCTGGGTAGTTCCAACAGGAAAGGCAGTGTTGGGGGCATGTGACCGCCAGGAACGTCGCACTACACCGTTATTGTCTGTGGCTGTTGGCTCAGTCCAGCTCACCGCTGCGGTAGTCTGGCTGGATGCTATAGGCTGAGTGATGCTCCCTGGGCAGTTGAGCACTGTTGGTATGGTACCATCGTTGTTGACTGGCAGAATGAAACACAATACATGGATCAAGATTACTCTTTTTGTTTTATAGACAACAGTTTGTCATATATTTAAAACAACAAATGGTAAAACACTGCTAGTATAAAGTAACAAATAAAAGTTTAATTTACAACTTTTGATACGATTGTCATAGAGTACCAAAGTGGGCCGCGTATTCTGGTTCACGCAAATAGCTTAAGACATCAGCACGCAAACCAGCCGACATCACACTTCGGTACTCTATGGGCTCGGTGCGCCAACAAAAGTGGGTGATTTTTTTGCCATTTTTGAGAGCCCCGTGGCATTTATATGTCTGTGCGAGGACAGGACACACCGCATGTGTTGTAATGGGATTTGAAAAAGAAAAAAAGAAGAAAAGAAAAAATAACCAAAAAAAAAATAAGAACATAAACAAAGGCTTTCCCGCTAGCTAGCAAAAAGCAAAATCCTTTCCCAATGCCTACCTCCAACCCTCACAAAGAAGGTGCAGTATGCGTTGTTTTGCGGAGGACTTGTTGGAGGGTTATCAACAAACCGATAACCAACGGTAGTGAAGCCATAATTGAATGGCGTGGTCCCTGACAACTGACCATAGATGTTGGCTGTCTCAAATGGGGTGGTAAAACTTTGTCCGGGCTGAAGATTGAAGCCACTGGGTGTTTGCCAGGTACCAGTTGAAGTCTGTGCTGTGGTGGACACAGGTGTTCCTGCTATATCCACGACAGAACAGCCAAATAGTTGAGGTGGCACCACATCTAAAAAAAAAAAAAAAAACCCGGAAATTAGAGAATGTTTGTCCAAAGTAGGAAAGCTTTGCGGTGACACCGTGTCAATTTTATATCTCTTGACTTGTGTGGTTTTGAAAAGAACCATTTGTTTTAACTCGACGTTTTGAATGTTGTGCTGTGTTCCTCAACAGGAGACTGCCGAATTTTCACATTATAATTAGCTGTCTAGGGATAGATAATATGTTTTTTAATGCTTTTTTAATAATAGTAGCTCAGGGGCGGATCCGGGAATTTTTGCAGGGGAGGGGTTTTCATCAGCAAATCGATGCTGAAATGTAGACAGTTTTTTTTCTCCGAACACTTTGCCTCCATACAATCAATAAGGGGGTGGTTTTCCCGGGTGGGGGGGGGGGGGGGGGGCTGGCTCGTACCATACTTTCAATGGGGGCGCTGCTCAAATCCGACGATCATCAACACTACATTACAGAATAGTGTACAAATACCCCCTAAACCAGCTGGCTCTGACCAAATTTTGTACACAGGAGGATATTGTTACCAGTATAATACTTTAATAGTTAGACATTTTTGGGGAGTCAGAGGGGGGGGGGGGGTTTCACATTTTCAGTTTCACAATTGTTCAGAAAAGCAAAAATTACAAACATGGCAACTACATGTGTCACACTTGTCATTTTGGACCACTGAAAATTTAATACAGCATATAACTAGACATCTGAAAGTTCGAAATTCAATTTTTCCCTGTCAATTGTACTGCTTCGGACAAATTATTTCCTCAAAAAAAAAAATCTGATCCCTGGAGCAGGTATAGGGTACGGAAGTGTGACATATCATTTAGAACCAGGAAGTGTAGTGCAAACGAATGGAGTACGCGCGCGTGTTGGTTCGGGGGCTGAATCACGCACTAATGTCTTTTACACACATAATTTTGCACGTGATGTATTCCCCAATTCATTCACTTCGGTGCTCTATAGCGGCAGGCAGCTTGCTTTTGGGACAAATGAGTATTCCAGGGAGGAAGGCACTTGAAGCCTTGAAGGCACTCAAAAAACATTTGTCCTATCTTACCCCACAGACATGACAAAATGTGGATTTTTGGACCCTTACAGCATTTGTACAGGTGCGGTTCGATTTTTTAGGTGGGCTAATAGACGTCTGAGAAAGGTGGGACTTCTTTTCTATCGCTTAAAACATGATAAAAGAGGGCGAGTGTGCTTCTAATTTTCCAAAGCGTATGACGTAGGCCTAAATAAACTACAAATAAAGTCTAAATGTGAAAATCAAAATTTTACAAAGTTCTAACTTCTACAGTCGTTTTCCTAGTTGCAGATTTTTCCTAGTTCCGGATAGCTTCAAATAAAAGCCTACCTCTTTTGGATTTATAGTCTCCAATAAAAAAAATTCTGACGATGTGCATTTTGAAAAGGAAAATGTAAGCTCCTTGATGCACAAAGATTTTTCCGATAAAATCTTTAGAAGAGGAATTTTGGCAAGATTTCCAACTCGCACTTCGACATGTTTGGACGGTTTGTAGAAAATCGCGTGAGCTGCGAATCGACAATAAATTTTCTCCTCAATATATCACTTGTACCGTGTGATTTCGAATATTTTGTTCATGTACTGCTAAAAAACATAAATGATTTTGAAACTTAAGTCTGCAGCGCAAAGGCTCGAACTCACGCACGGACCGAAAATTTTTGACCCAGTACAGAATACGTCACACAAAATCGATTAACACGCGTGTAGTTGGGTCGTAAGGGCACGCGCTATCCGGAACTAGGCAAAAGCATACGGTCATTCGTTGGCGAATTTTCAAAAAATAGAGACTTTACAACTTATTTTGATTCAACAAGCATTCGATGGAAGAGTTTATACGACTGTACTCGCCAACGAATGACCGTATGCTTTTGCCTAGCCCCATAAATGTGGCCTATTTACTGGACTGCCTCCGTAAACATAGGCCACACATCCACATGTACAAAAACGTGTCGCACTTTGCCAAATTTTGATTTTCGCATTTAGGCTTAGTTTGTAGGTTTTTTTGCTTTAGAAGCATACTCACCCTCTTTATAGGCTAATCAGAAAGTGCTGCCTTTTTCAGATGTATACTTTTCGTGAAATTTCCAGATTCATTTTTACACGTTTGCGTATCAAAATTTCTACATGAAATTTGACAAAAATTAGACATCTGAAAAAGGCAGCACTTTCTGATTAGCCTATAAAGAGGGTGAGTATGCTTCTTAAGCAAAAAAAACCTTCAAACTAAGCCTAAATGTGAAAATCAAAATTTGGCAAAGTGCGACACGTTTTTGTACATGTGGATGTGTGGCCTATGTTTAGGGAGGCAGTCCAGTAAATAGGCCACATTTATGGGGCTAGCTTTTGCCTAGTTCCGGAAAACGACTGTACATTTTTTTGGTGAATTGGCCACATTTATGTGGGTCTGTCGAGCGCAATTTGAGTCCCCCACGCAAGTTTAAACTTGCGCGAGGGACTCCTGAATCACGCAAATTACACCGCGCCATTTTAATATGCGTGCGCAAGTTTAAACTTGCGCAAAGGCGATTGCAACCTTCTTTTGCGAGTGGGATTTTCATTGATGAAGATTTTTTTTTTCTTCAAAACACGAGTACATGGAGAAATAATGGAATATATGAATGAATAAAGAAATAAATAAAAAGGGGAATTCAATTAGCGTCAATGAAAAGAAACATTGAGATTTAGCAGTGCTTATCAGAGAAGTTGTTTAAGGGTACGTGGGGGCGGGGACGGGGAGGGGACTGGGCAAGCAATAAACTTAGCGGCGATTGCTTGGAAAGTGTACTGAAGTTGTTCAATAATGGAGACCAGCTTCAAGTTTTTTGCTTTGTAAACCTAATTGGCATTTTATTTATATTCTTGAATGTAAATAAATCATAACTTCCTAGGGCTGGTGTAACCCGCTGTTAATGTAAAAAGAATGATTATGATCCCTTCAATTGTTCAAGTTTTGACATTATAGTAATCATTTACATTATTTTCAAAATGCTTATGTATTCTACAATTAAAAAAGTACTTATTCTTAAAAAAATACTAATTAATTTAACAATTAATAAATTGGACGGTACAATAATTCATATTGTTTTTAGAATACTTGCATAACATTTCGAGCGCTGTGTACACTTAAAAAATGCATAATTTGAAAAAAAAATTAATGAATGCATTAATAATTTAATTAATTAATTAAATTTATTACTTTACCAAAATTTTTTTTAATGCAGGCTCAATAATTCATATTAAAAAAATGTTTACAACTTAAAAACACTATGCATATAAAATGGTAATTATTTTAAAAAGTAAATAAATTTGCAAATGATTTAATTAATGAATTTAATAAAATGTTTCAAAAAAAGGCATTAAGGCATTGTCTCCCGAAGCTCAGTGATGCTATTAAATCGGAGAAAAAAATCTGCTTTAAAAATAATGTTACATATCTGCATGAGTTTACCAGGGAAAAATAGTTTAGCAGCTCTGTATGCGTGGCCGGGAAAATCTATGCAGTGCGCAAGTTTAAACTTGCGTGCGCAATTTGTAGCAAGGAAATGAATGCGCGCGCAAGTTTAAACTTGCGCGCGCAAGTTTAAACTTGCGCGGGGGACTCACTTTGCGCTCGACAGGGCTATAGCTGGAGTTACTCAAGCTAGCTTACTTATTTATCGTTCCCACTGGTATGGTACGTACGTACCATACAAAGTATTGAGAGTCCCAAATTTTCGGACTTCGTACGTACGTGCCTTGTCATTCGCCATTGTCTAGATCAGTGCTCTGTCGGCGTCTCGTGCACGTGTTCATGTCATTTAAAATTTGGCTCGACGTAAAAGGGCGACCTCAAGAGACGGATAAGAAACAGGCGAAACTTTTTTAATAGACTTTCAACCGGTCGCTTCGAATAAAAAGGCTTCGGGACCCTACTTCTAGAATTAGAAGGCACTCTAGCTGTTACAAGTAATTTTGGTTAAAACATTAAAAAATAGTCGGTGTGAAATGAAGTGATGACGTACGTTCGTTTTCTTTTTCAGGAACGGTGACCGTATAAACTACAGGATCTATGCCATCTAGTAACTTTTACGTAGAAAAAAGGCACACAAATCGATCGGTGTCCAAAGTTGACGACACTTTTATTTTGTCCGTCATGATTTTTAAATTTTCATAGCTATGAGTCCATCATTTGTAATTTGTGCATTTTGTTCTTTTGAAGCAACAAAAGTGCTCAAAATCTGATGAAGGGTACTGAACAACTAACCTGATGAAGTTTCAGCTCAGCCTGTAGGCCATATTCCGAGAAAAACAGTTTCAAATCAAAAGTTGCTGAATCATGTTTTGAATTGGGCCTGAACTATGCGTCCGAGACACGTTCTCACTGAGCCGATTGCAGCTAGCTACGCGATGTCGCGCACTGATCCGAATTATAGCAACCGCGCGCGTGTGCGTCGTGCCAATTATGCGCGCTTCGCCGAAAAACAAAACGAACTACTAATATAAATTTTCCTAAGGTGCGTCTTAAAAAGCACCGTTTGAAAGGCCTTCTTTCGTTGATTACTTCAAAATGACAGCTTGTCAGAAAGAATAATTTCACAGGGAGTTTAGTCCCCTTACTTTCTTTCAACCAGGTATGTTTTTCAACAATAATTACGCCAGTTACTAATTTTCGGATGACTGCAAATGATGGACTCGGGCTTTAATTGGCACCAATCCTCCTAGGAAAAACAAAATACGCGAGCGGGACGCTCCTAATTTGTTCTGAATAGTGTGCGCAATAAACTGGAGCGCGCCATTTACAACCACTTTTTTTTTTAACTGTATCCGGTTCGTTAGTGTGACGTCACCTCCAGCACTTTCTGCATGATTGGAACCGGAAGTTAACGCAGCTCGAGCGTTTGTAGCCAATGGGCGCCAGTAATCAGTGCTGCGCGCGTGTGTATGACGTTTTCACTAACGAACCGGATAAAGGCCTGCAGAAACAAACAAGCAAATTTATTTGTTACGGGACATTCATAAATACCTCAGACAGTTTAGCCATTCCTATTGGTCGAGAGCCCGTCACGTGGCCGGTATTAAACGGATGATAAAGACATGGCTAGCTGGTCTTAAACACTTTTCCAGTGTCACAATAAAATGTGGACTCCTAAAAATCCAGTGCCTCTTATCGTTTCATTGGTTGAACGTTCACAATCCTCACGTAGGCATGCGCAACACTACCAGGGAGTTAGAATTTTATAGTTCTAAATTCAAAACGCAACGCGCCAGGTGCGTTCTGCGCGACATCGCATAGAACATGATACGCGCGCGTCAATCTCCATAAAAGGGTTGTTTTCATCTTACTCGCCAGCTGAACACTCCATTATTTTGCAGGAGGGATGATTAAAAAAGCATAAAGTGAATTTGTTGAACAAAATCGGGATGTTTTGAACGAATTATATGATTTTTTTTTACCGAAAAGGTATTTATGAATGGGAATAAATATGTACTCCGTCGGTATTTATCACTCTGTTTAATACCACGTAGAGTCTGGGTGCTGATAATTACCCTCGCCTCCGGCTCGGGTAATTATCAGCACCCAGACTCTAAGTGGTATTAAACAGAGTGATAAAAACCGACGGAGCACACATTTATTCCCTTATTAAATTCCTTCAAATTTCGTTCGGAAAAGAATATCGAAATTTTGAAAAACCTCGTATATATCAATTTTAGATTTTGCGCAGTTTCGGCGTCCATTTGTGTAATAGACCGCTTGCAGACGCGTTCGATAATGGACGCGCGAAGGCGCGCGACGCCATGTTGTGGGACAAGCGTATATCTATCCATGCACATTTTGTCCCACAACATGGCGTCGCGCACCTTCGCGCGTCAATTATCGATCGCGTCTGCAAGCGGTCTATTGGACAACATTTTATTTTTACAAGCTGCGTTCACGCAATTCTATCGCGCGATAGGTTAACTCAACTGATATTATGCCGGGAAACAGTCTAGATTCATGGGTACGGAATTTAGACGCAGCCCATGGGGGCGCCGTTTGGGGCCTCCATATAGAGCCTGAAAAATGAAAGGTTTTGCTCGTACGTACCCCGCCCTGTTTGCAGGGCGGTGGTAAAAAGGTTACGCACGCGTCGAGCTCCCGAACCAAATTTCTGAAATAACACACTATTGGGCCATACTTGAGGCGCAAGTTCAATCCTTTAATTCATAATTTAATTTGTTTGTAGGATTTTAAAAATGTGATGGCGGACCTCACTATTTTATCACGGAGTGGTAGTCCGCGGACCGTTTTTTTTTCCCGCGGTCGATCCCTAGTTTTGTGTTCTTAAAAAAAGGGTTTGTAGACTGCACGGATGCGATAGCACGAATAGCGTTGGCCCTAGCCATGTCTACTCCACGAGCTATAGGCCACGCCCACTGCACAAGGGGCATGAAATCCTTTTCATCGAACTCATGATTGACGCCCCCTGTCGATTTAGAATGTTGTCGCATGCAGGGCTAGGTACAAACCTAATCAGACTTAGTTTGTGGTCGCGGTTATCTATTGCAAGCACATCTATATTTAGTTGCTCATTTTCTCTTCGTTTAAAAATGATTAAAGACTTTCATATGATTCATAAGATCACGTAATTTAGTTTTTCACACATTTTTTTTGTAAATTCTTCGTCACGTAAATCTAAAGAACAAACAAAACAAACAAATGTTGTTGCTTTTTGTTGCAAAAAAAAATAATAATAGCATTCGAACTGAAGGGTTAAATTGAAATCTCAGTTTCAAATTGTGTTCAAAACGGACTCAAAAACCGGCTTTCAAAGTTGCAAAAAATTCGAGCATCTTTCATTTCAAATCAATTGACACCCTTACGCATGGGCATTACAGAAGCTCTCACACTGACCCGATATCGGTGTAAGGGCTAACGGATCCAATACAAAAGCCCTTTATAAGACTTATCATTAGAACAATGCGATCCATTATTTTTATCATGCGAAAGGAACTTTAATGCTTAAAGAAAATGAAACCTTGGAAGTGAAGAACGGGCGTCCTACTTCGCGAACGGACTCGTGACAAACTTTCTCAATTTGTTTCCTCTATGTTCAGGAAATCTTGCAATGTAACAAAAGAAAAGAAACAGAACAGAGTATATCGTTGCAAACTTTGGAGCGTCTGGATGCCAACTTGACAGCAGCTATGCACAGTTTAGATTCAACAAAAAGGTAAAAAGTGGCTGGAAGTGGATGATTTGCAGGTGGAGCTAAACATGTGCATAGTGGTCGCTCCGAGCACGTCAATTTGTTTACGTTAATTGATGCTAATTATTAGTTCCAAGCGTACATTATTTTATTATCTGTTCGATATATAGTGATTTTGTAATTTTCCTATGTACTAATTTGTTTTAATTATCGATGTGTTTCCAAAAGGACTATGGAATAAACTGTGTTCTTGAATCTTGAATCTAGAAATTATACTTTCTTTTCCATTGTAATACTCAGACTTTGTGGTCACACCAGACAAATCGCAATGACAATTTTGTCCTTTGTTACAAAAATACATCGAAATTGAGTAGGCAGTAGACCTTTACAAGAATTAAAAGTGAAACTAAAGTCATATCCCGGGGATTTAGGGCCTACCTTGCGAGAGAGCTGGTTTAGTCATGCAAGCCACCGTCAGCAGCACAGCCGCCACGGACAGGTAGCCAGTAGCCGCCATCTCAAGATGCGGCAAGATCCAAAGAGCTCAAAACAACGGTAATAAACCAGACGGCCTCGGGCGCAAAGACGGACTATCCGGGAGAAAAGTCGTCCACGGTTCGATCCACCAACGCTGGCAGGCCGGTCTGAACGAGAATGGAGGCTGACGGCAACTTTTGGTAAGCGCCAGGGACAGGGGTGCGGCAGCCGCTGAACCGATTCGCAAAGCGAAATATGCAAATCAACTTCGTCGCTTTCAGCCCTTTCAAAACCATTCAACCTTGCGCGAGGCAGTTCGTATCATGTCGGTTCGCGTTCCGAAAAGTTAGAAAGTTCAGGTTGGACGTGCACTTTGGTGTAACTTGCTACAGGGCCAAGTTGTGTATGGCAGGAAATGGTTATTGTTATTTAAATGGTGGCGTCCTTCAGAAATCATGACGGTGGTATTCATCATTCTTATAAGATAACCAAACACGATGATGCCCCGTAAAAAAGGCATTGGGGGGGGGGGGGGGGGAATCAAAGGCCTTCGAATACTTTTTTCGTAGCTCTTCTACTTTGTTTCGTAGTTCTGATCTGGACGGACCCCGTGGTCGAACATTCGAGGTGTTTTCGAATCTTGTCTCGGGGATATGGTGGCCTCAAAATAGCGTCATCCACAATGTGCTCGTGATGTTGATGTCTTCAGCCCTAGACTGGAAATCAGAGATAACGCATGCCAGGGTGTCTTCTGTGTTTTTACGGGAAAGCAGTAAAATGCGTATACAAATACATGTAGATTATAATGCACAAAGCGCAGGAAGGCTCAGTTTAATTTGGCGAAAGACTCCAAGTTGACCACATACTCGGGAAGACTGTTCCACGCCGTCAGTATGTCATTATAATGAACGCGAAGGAACATAAGTGGTCCTGGTATGCTGCCTTTATGCCTAGCCTCTTGAAATGGATGTTTGATGAATTTTACTATATCCCCCGAGTCCTCTGTGCAAGGAAGCTTATACGATCCAATTTTAAAGGCTCCTATGGATCCTTTGAGTTTTCAGATTGTACAAGTATCGGCAACTCGAACCTCAACAGAAATATATACATCAATAATTGTATTGGTTGATACTTAGGAGAAGGTTCACAGTTGATTTTGTTCGACTGAAAACCCAACTGCATGGGCCGGTGAAAGAAGTTTGTTAAACGAAAGGTGAATTCGCTTAGACCTTGCTAACAATTGGAAGCAATGATCTGGGAAGAGATCCCAGCGATTCACTGGTTTGTCGGTCGGAATTACGTTTGCTTGTTATCCAGTCACAAATAGAGATTGCTTGGTGGTATTAATAGAAAAAGCTGCTGTTTGAAATTAGCGATTTGTGCTCTACGCAGAAATCAGCGCAGCCAATAACCAAATAACATACATTGCATTATACTTTGGTTTGGTAACTTTTTTACCAAGCAATTATAGGTCTAATCGATGCTTATCAAAGTGCCTAGCAGCTCCAAAAATATGTGGCCCAACTTCGGTCTCATTCAACCGGATTAACAGGCCGCCTGTTCACTAACGGGGTTGAATAAGGCCTCTGGTGCATACGCCGTTTTCATTGAAAACGCAACCGTTTAGCCAAAATAGGCCCCATTTACGTAGGTTTTTTTTAACAGGCTTTCATGAAACTCCGGTAACCGTAAATTCGTTCCCATTACCGAGTGTCGAAGCTTTTCCTGACACAAATAGCAGAGTCATGACCTAGATTGATCGCCAGTCTAGGCCGTTTCATTTTAAATTTCTTAAATAATATAATCAGATGTGCTATATGCAGAACATTCGATTAGCTTATTGAGCTCATTTAAAGCGTCGTGATTAGTTCATTTTTCTGGTGATCCATCGCGCTAGGTTCCTCCGAAACGATTTACAAGCCTTCGATATCTACAATCATGACATGTAGGTATAGAGTGGGAAAAATTATTACAAAAACCGCAAAAAAAACTAAAAACAAATGGAATGTAGCCTCATACGTTGATGAAACCACGTTGTTGGTTTTAGCTACTTGGTTTTGAAAACAAACGCACGAAGAGTGCAAGAAAGTTTGATTCAATAAACTACACTCACAATACAGTGACACATTCCAACTGGTTTACTGTTACGACTATTCCGAATATGACACTTGATTAATAAAACAAAAACGAATAGACTAATCACAAAATCTTTTTTTACAGTTCAATAAAATCCACTACCTCAGTGTAAGAATATTCACATACGGTAACAAAAGGTAAAATGACCAATAATGTGTCATATCAAGTGTATAAATAAAGTACTGGTAATGTGAAAAATTATCAAAACTTCACCATGCAGTGACAATGTTCTTTATATCAAAATGTGCACCGGTCTTAGTTTTAAATTTCAAGGCATATCGGGAAAAGAGTTTAATGACTAGCATGGATCAATGTTTTCAATTCAGTCTGCAAATTTTAATTTTACGTTATAACCAGATTTGTCCGAATCAATTAATACTCTAAAACCGTAAAGAGTCTAAAACCAACATGTCCCAACAAATTATATGATGGTGGTCACTGATGAAGATGAAAATTTCTTTACATAATATAATAACATCCAAATGTGCTTTTAAAAAAATGGATGTACTTGGGATGCCACACTTAAAATATAAATATACATGTATAAAAATTGCAATTTTACTCAGAAGATATGTCTCTTTGGTCTCTCTGAGCTGATACTTTGGTGGGGTACCTCAACCCGTTTTCTGCTTTTAAAAACAACTCCAGTTAGTATTTACGGTAATGTACAACATTTTCAAACATTAAAAACCCAAAACACTGCCAAATTATTATGAAATACCTTACTTGACCATATAAGTGAATAATAGTCTCAAACATCCTGTGAAATGACACCTGGTGTGCTGTCGTTTTTAAAAGTGGATTTTTTGTATCAGTTTTGCAATTGGTAACAAATCCATGGACGGTGCAAGCCAGCTAGTCTGGTTCCCCAACCTGACAATCCCCAGACGTCTATGAATTACTCTGGTTTTTTTTTCTTGGTTTTTCCAGCATCTACAAACACAAAACTTTAAACAGGTCAGTGTAACGATATGTACTATGAAATACTAACCCCAAAATCCATCAATTTCTGAAAATTACGACAAAAGCAAATTTTGTATACCTTTAAAGGAAAAAACACTGTAATAGGTTTCCAAAAACAGAGTGACTATATTAAACTGCTGTATTTGGAACTTGTTTTTCCAAATATACATAAAATATACATATCAGACCTTAAAGTTGATTATAGTAAAGAACTGAAAGAAAATTGTTGTTAATACCACCAGATCTATGCTACATCCACCCAAGCCACACTTTTAATTTGATATTTATATAAATTTATTAAAACCAATAACATTGCATAGTACTTAATTGTTAAGATAATAAAAATGCGCTGGAATACAAACTGACTATAATATTGTCAACTACAATAAGATTACATTTATGCTTGTGAAACAAAATGCATCTGGATTTTCCTAGGGATAAATTGTTGGAAAAAATATCCATTTATTTTGTTTTACAAAGAATACAGGGTTAATTACTCAATATTTACAATGGATATATAAAAACATTAATCGTACATAAGGAAATAAAATTCTGAACCATGCTTGCATTACACGTTAAAACAGAGCAAAAATACTGCTGATAAAAACTAAGAAGGACACTAGAAAGTATGTTATCATTTTACAGAGCAATGAGGTCACTATATTGGGAATAATTTCACGATGCTCTAAAAAGCCATGCTTGATATGTCATAGCCCAGCTTGCCTGTTCGTTGTCTCTTTATGTGGAAGACAGCCAGCAGCATGGCAACGAGAAGACTGAGAGCCCCGAGGGAGGTCAGACCAAGAAACTTCCAAGACGACTGGAGCGCGGTCTCATCGCCCTTGTCACCTGCTGGATCAGAGCAATAGGAAATATTCCATGGAAAGATTGTCATGGAATTTGGCATAAATTCCTGTCAAAAGTCACTGATTGCAGTAAGAGTACGTAAGGTCAAGCCACTCATCATGAGCCAATATGGCCGCTGAGGCCGGCATTTATGTCCAGTTTCAGTGGATGATTAGTCCCACCTGGATGGGATGCCAGTCCAGTGCAGGTATATCAGCAAATGCTGGTACCCATTTCTACTCCTGGGAGGAGCCAGGCAAGTGGGGGTGAAGTGGCTTGCCCAAGGACGCAACATATGGCCAACAGTTGGATTTGAACCACTACGCCACACGCCCTCACTGACTGCAGTACCCTCTTGTATACATCAGATTTGAACCAGACAGCAGGCCCAAGACACCTGATCCTTGTAAGTTCAGTGGTTGTGTGATTAAGACATCTTAGTGAGAGGTCTCAGGTTCAAGTCCTACCCGAGTAAACTTGTAAATTTTTAACACAAGCTCTTTGACAGCTTACATTGGTGAAGAGCACCCTCTCCAACCCCTTATAATACTCCCCGAATAGAGCTCTAATACTTATGTTTTCAAGTGATTGTAAGCAAAAGCACAGAAGCAACTCTCGAAAGCTGAGAGTCACTGTAAACTACATGTAGATTGCTGTGTTCATTTATTACATAAGAGTATATCCCACTTAAGAACATCCATTTTACCACAAGAGTGAATGGCAGTACATGTAGTTTCATTTCATGAAATTGGGCATTTTGCTGTGACCTCAAACAGCAAATAAGAAGCCAAAAGGCTTTTCATTTCATGAAATTCAGCATTTTGCTGCAACTTCAAACAGCAAATGAGAAGCTGAAAGCATGTAGTTGGTGCAACCGAGTCTATTGTATGTACTGCCAGGTATAGTAGATTAAGCTCCCTTGGGGCGTGAGATCTCTATACCTGTACTACATTACCTGTATGGCATTGTATTAATACTCACTGAAGAACACACAAAAGAGAGTGCTCGACAGCATTTTCAGGCTTGACAGGGGGTAACTAACACTAACAGGCAGGGCAATTTCTTGTGGTATAAGTGACTAATGTGTTAAAGTATCAGTGCAGACTGTTGTTTTTTTTCGTTTATGAACCTTGTGACATTTATTAGGCCGAGTAAAAAAAAAAAATAGTTTCTCGTCCGGGGTTTTTGAAAAAAGGGAGGAAGCGGGGCTTTTTATTTTTATTTTTTTCAAGATGACCGCCTTTTCAAAATTTCCTGCAACCGTTGGTGTTCCACTGTTCAAAGACACTTTCAAAGATGAAAGACAAGTTGGACAAGAGAACTGAACATATTTACAGTGTCATTTTAGAGTTGTATTGGTATTGGTATTTATTTTCCGATGAATTTGTAGACTTTTTCAGTGTGTTTCTACTACATTTTTCAAAAATAAAAAATAATAAAAATATCCAGGCGGCCTCCAAAAAGGAAGCGGGCGGGGACGAGAAACTTCTTCTTTTTTTTTACTTCGCCTTAGTGATACAACTGTTAAAATATACTTCAGATTTTTCAACGCTCAGTCAACAACTGAACTTCTGCTTTGATTTCATGTATGTATTTTTTTAATTTTATTTCAACTGTTCCGGAAGATTGTTGAGATTGAACTCAGCAATTAAATATCTTTGCAAACACAACTTACACATAAGGCATAAATTTGGTCAAAAAGGTTCTACAACTGTAGCTACATCAAGATTGAAAAAGCTAGATAACAAACTTATTTGGGAAAAACTGGCGTTCTTGTTTTGGTAGTGTAATAAAGAATCTCAGTACACTACACAATAAGTGCTTGGTTGGCAAAATTACTTTGTGGGAGACTTTAAGCCATCCAGGACATATATGAATGTCAGAAAATCAGAGACAAAGTAGAATGAACCTTTGTATAAAATCGAGATGTCCTTGTGTGCAAGAAATAAAAAGCAACAATGAGAGTTAGAAAGACCTGTTCAAGGGCCATTCCTAAATAAATTCAAGAAAAAGCAAAGCCATTAAGATAGGCACAATTGTACAGAAACTGAACAGCAAGGCAACCTTGTACTCGGTCAAGCAACAACAATGGTATTGTTAGCGGTCTTTCAGACCCCAAAACCAACAGTTGACTTGGCTAAGACGGGATTTGCGCAGTTTCAGGAATTGATGTTGCTTTGTATTTGACCACCCCAACTGACCACTGACCTTAAGAGGTCGATCTAATCGTGTGACCTTGTGTACGGAAATCCAGATGTTTGTAAACCTCTTTTGGCCATTCATACCTCCTCTTTTTTGATATTCACTGAGGTGTGTAGAATGCCCTGGGGCGGGAGGGGGGTGCAATTGACCAAAAGTTGACCCAGAAGCTTTACACGAATGAGAAGTTGCTTTTGACACTATTTGTGACCGGCTCCACAAAAAGGGTATTATGTCGCAAAAAAAGTTGAAATTGAGTTATAAACATGGTTGGAAAGCCCACAATGTAAGCTTTCATTTGGTATGTAATAGAGCTCATAGTCCCTCCCGATCTGGAGAGATGAGGTATTTGCATATTAATTACTTCCTTGGAGTTCAAATTACACAACAACAGAACGATGCACACAAAAATGGTTGTTTTTTACACTTTGTTCATCAAAATCAACATTCTGTGAGTAAAACCTGAAACTTTAGGTATTAAAAATGTCATTCATGACAACAAATGAAAATCACATTTTGACAAAATTGTCACCCTCTCAATGTTGAGCAGGCCATTACACAATAATGCTCAGTGCGACTTAATACCCTTTTTGTGGAGCCGGTCACATTTAGTCCAAGAAATTAGAAGAGTTGTTTAAAGGGCAAAGGGGGTTCCACCAATCATAGAATCACACTGATTAAAAATGCAACATTCCAAAATTTATCTTTTGTTGGGCGACAGGATTGTCGATTTTTCTGTATATGACGCTGAATGGTGCACATTCCATGTTTGGGTTTATGTTACTCCCTGTCAGCTCACTGTTTCAAGGGCTGAATTTTGCTTTTAGTTGCATGAACTAAACTTCTGCTGAACCTCACAAACTCATCAAAGAGATTTGTCACATTGTATCTGTGCTATCGTAAATCTGTGTCTCACTACTGCGTACATTCTGCATGCATGTAAGACAGACTTACCTTCCTTGCAGAGGATTCCAGTCAAACCCTCAGGGCAGATGCACCGGGTACCCTTGCTCCCTGTCTCTTTTAGACAAACCCCTCCGTTCTCACACGGGCAGATATCCATGACGTCATCTGAAAAAAATTGAAACAGGTTGGACTATGGATGCAAATCTTTTCAACTGTAAAGGGTTTGTTTAGTTAGTATTTGCTGTGTCTTGTACCTTGCCATTTAGTGGCTATTGTTACGGCAGTCGACCGTCTGGTCCCCTAACCTAATAGTATTCAACGTCAGGATCTTTAACTCTTGGAACCAGACTATCGACCCAATGTTCTTTGCTTTTTTTCCCCTAAAAAAAATCCTCCATGGCCACGGACTACAAAGAAGAAAATAAAATCTACTTCATAAAAAGTGGAATTTGATTAAAAACATAAAAGTAAATGAAACTATTCAAACTTAAAGGAAAAAAGAAAAGAAAAAACGTTGGCATAGTGCTAATTTGATCCTGGGACTTTCGGCATGGTAGTCAAGCATTTAACCAATCTACCAGGGGCCAAACCCCAAATCCTGCCCCCCTCATGAATAATTCATAAGCTAACAAAGTATAAAGTTGTAAGCCACTTAAAACCAACTAAACTTTCTGTTTGTTCTTGTCCCCCCAAATAAAAGGATAAAAAAAATGCACTGAATGCTACCCCCAGTTTGAACTACATGTAATCTATATCATTCTCGAAGTTTCTTGAAACTCACCCTAGTTGCCTGTCTCTTATAACCTGACAAATGTTTTAACTGAAAACAATGACACTGGTAATGGACCTCACAAGTAATGATGTCATTCTTTGTTTACAAAAACGTGACATCGCCTGCTTTCTTGTGGGTGCTAGCTCAAATGATGTCACTATGTGCTTTCTTATGGGAAACAAGGTGTGACATCTTCACAGGTCTATTTGTTATCTACGTGTAAACTGCCAACACAGTTTCAAGTAACCAACACTGAATTTGGATGGAAAATGTTTCAGTTTAAAATGTGAGGCGTACCATTTTCCACAGGCTCGTAGTTCTATGCTTGTAGATTGAGCAAGACTAATAACTGCAAGGGTTTAACTTTTTTTGGTATTTGGTGGAGTGTGTATGACCTTGTAACTGCTACATGTACATGCACTCACACTGCAATGCATACATGTGCAAGTCATGATTTCGACCTTAAATGTTTTTCACCAACAGGAGCTATTGTGCCAGGCCGCGCCTGTCTTCACACATGAGTATAAACCAACTTGTGTTATTTTTCACACATCTCTAAAAATTAAATATCAAAGTTCACTCTCTTGGTAAATAAGTGAAAAAAAAATAAATGCCAAAGCACCATGAATGGGCTCGGGTATTGTATGAAGTTATTTTGCCAGGAGAATTAAAAACCCTTGAAAAAAATGTGACACAAATATTGAATGGATTTCAGACCTCATAAAACGTTGCTTATAAGGATATCTGAATGAGCGGAATGGGGTTGGCTGGGATTCTATACAAGCTTTGTGCATTTGATCCGGTTTACAAAGACCAAATTTCTTTTGGTTTTCACAGCTCGACCTTCAACCCCAGCCTACACTTTATTGAGAGTCTGTTTCTCGCAGTCCAACATCTTTTCCTCCTTTTTTTTTTATTCATTTTTTCGTATTAACATGAAGCAAACAATTCACTGAACATCATGACAAACTTGTTCAAGATCAGTATTTGCAAAATGATGTCTTTGTTGACATTAAGAAAAATAATTGAAGTGGAGCAAAAATGACTTGAATTTACATACATGTACCTTTATAAAAACAATGGTAAGTAAGGGCAGGGGTGGGTTGGGGGGGGGGGGAGAATAGATGGAAGGGGGTGGGGCTAGGGAGGGGGTGGGAGTGGGCAGGGAAATGACAATAAATGGATAATCTAGGATAAATCTAGCATATTAAAGCCCAATTCATAACTTTCTTTAAGTACAAGAATCATTCAAATCACTTATGTATTTTTTCAAGTTACGGAGTTTTAAACTCGGCCACCGTTTTAAGGTTCTGTCCACGGATCACAAAAACTTTAGTGTTCTTTCAGCAAAATGAAAGCAAATCACATAAGGATGTGTGTGAATTGTTTCCATTTTGCTGAATGAACGCACACCTTTTTTGTGATCTGTGGAGAGAACTTTAAAACGGTGGTTGTGTTTAAAACTCCGTAACTTATAAATGGTACATAACTGATTTGAATGATTTTTGTACTAAAAGGAAACTTATGAATTGGGCTTTCATATCCTAGATTTTGAAAGTGCTACATGCGGAACTTCACTAAAACAACGGTCCCGACAGTTGGATTTGTTTTTTTTTTACTCACCCTGTACTGACCAGGGCTTCGATGGAAGACGGGATCAGTAAAATGCTCATTTTTGCTACATTAAAAAAAGACATTTTCATACAAGGCATTTACATTGTCTTCATTGACTTATTCCTACGTATTTCAGACAGTTTTTTTTTTGTGATGACTTTTGTCTTACCTTTCATATCCAAGACATCTCTCCTCTTCCGAAATGGGCCTGGGGGAAAAATAAGAGAGATGTCAAATAATTTCCCCTGAAGGATATGTGTAAGTATCTCAAAAATAAAGTACCTGAGGTTCAAAATGAAACAAAAATGTACAAGATTCTTCATATGGTGTGCCTTAGAGTGAAAACATAACTGTAACATCAAATGGTGATGGTCTGATCAATTTGTCTGAGGTTATAGTTTTGTACAAATGGAAAAGTTTACGCTTGGTTTTTTTCACCAAAAACTTAATGTTTTCTATTATTATTATTATGGTTTATTGAACATTGTGTTTGTAGCCAGAGGCTAAATTGTCACAATGTGTACAAATGAAAAACACAAAATCATAAATACAAATTTACTAATACTTTCAACATCATACATACAAATATCAGAATACAGTACATGCAAAAAATGAGTTAAAATTTGCACATCGGAATATTAGAAAAGCGCACTCTCCCAGAATAGTACTTGATAAAAAAGGGAGGTGTTTTTTTTTGTTTTTTTTAGGTATGCAGTACATGAATAAAATAGGATTTTGTATTATTGTATGTTTAATTTTTTGTAATTTTTTTGATTATCAAATTCCAGTATGAATGGGAGTTAAGACTTGGAACTGTTGTTCAAAAGGTCAACAAAATATGGGATGGGGCTATTCTGATAACGTTTAGTTTTGCACATCATTTTGGATAAGTTGTCATTGTATTATGAAAATAACAAAAAGAAGAGCCAATAGCACTTTCTGGTGTGAAACTAAATTCCCTTTTATAATTTTTTCTTGTAAACCCCCATTTTGGCCCAATTAGGATACCGTAACTGAAACTTTCCAACTCCTTGTTTCTTTGTCAACTTGTAAAAAATACTGTAGTGTGTGACACTTTTTCTTTGTGTCTTTCACTTACAACTAGCTGTTTTTATTAGTATTATTACTACAAAGCATTTTGTTCAGACATATTTCTTTGATACACTATCTTTTTAAGACAGCCACGATGGTCTTAAAAGATATGAATTTCAAATTAATATCAAAACTGGGCCTCGTTTTGCCAAGTCATAACATTTTGTCACGATTTTTAATCCCTACCGCAAAGAGAGATTTTAGTGTTTGATTATAATTTAAAATTTGTCAATTGATACATGAAACTATTCATAATCCTGGTGAGAATTTCCTTTTCATCTATTTTCCCATGACGTATGATCTATAAATATCCTAAGGTGAGAAGTCAGTCATGGAGACGTGAACACGGACAAAATCACAAGGCCGAAAGTCAAATTTTCCCCGACTTCCTGGGTGTGAGATAAATGTTTATACAAATCTTTTGTTGAAACAGAAAGTATACATAGATGGACAGTCCAAGAAACAGTCAACATGGTTACATGTACCTCACTGAAGAAAATATATAAATACAGGGCGAGTCAAAAAAAACCGAAACCCAAATGTCGGGACCATTTTTGTAGTGAAGTTCTGCATGCAGAACTTCACTAAAACAACTGTCCCGACATTTGGGTTTCGTTTTTTTTACTCACCCTGTACAACTCATGTTAATTGGGATGTGAAGAATTATCCTAACAGATGTTTGTTTTGAGATTTAAAGCAACAGCCACTGGAGTAACTCCTAAACTTATTTTCCTTGTAAGAAAATACAAGGTTCACTAATTATTTACACACACTGGTCATCTCAGCTCAGGGGCTTTCAACATGTATCCAAATTCACACTGCCACAAAAACAGGGAGTAGTATTTTTTGGAACCTTCCTTACTAGAAAAAAAAAAGTGACCTCAATATTTGTCACAACTTTAGAATTGTGAAAACTTGGCGGGACTTTTACAAAGGTTAACCTAAAACCAGGACAAGCCATGGAACTAGCCAATTGAAACGTAAGGCTGCAGTGTGCCTCATGGCACAGCTCACCTATCATTAACCTCTGTGCAGGCATTGAGAAAAAAAAAACGAGACAAAATTTACTAAGGGGATAACAGTGTGCTTGAACAGTTTTTAAAAGTGTGGTTAAAAACTGGCTTAGGGTTTGGTCACTGATAATGGCCCGAGCCGGGGATGAGGGCTGGTAATTATCAGTGATCAAAGCCATAGGTGATTTTAACCAGCACATTAAAAACTGTTCCAGCACCCTATTATCCCCATTCATAAATACCTTTTTTTTTTGGTAAAAAAAAAGTCAGACCAAATTAAATATTATACAAATATTGAGAGACTCAGAGTGAAATGGGAGGAACATTATCGCAGGGTAAAATCTGGACTTTTCCATTTCACGAGGCGAAAATGAAAAAGTCCAGATTTTATTGAGCGATAATATTCCTCCCATTTCACAACTGAAAGCTACTCAATATTTGTTTTATATAACTGACATATAGATCCTTGTCATTTGATATAATTATTTGAACTTTTATTTAAATACAAAATTGGTGGAAAATGAACTTCTCTCTTCCAAACCACCCCTTCACGAAAATGTTTGAACCTAGCGCTGTTGCGCTGGCTCTTTGGAATAATACGCGCTACGCGCAATGCTGAACGCGCACACCAGCATGTATTTGCACACAAATACCGCGTCATGGAACAAGAATGATCCTAACTGTTGAATAGTATTTCCCATTCCCCATGGGCGAATGGGACTTTTGAGCCCCAGTGTGAATAGGAGCAATAACGAATGTCACGTGATGTGAGTTCCACCAATCAAATGACAAGGATCTGTATGTCAGTTATATAACGACAAATATCCAACAATTTTGTTCAACTGTTTTACATCATCATGTTTTGTAAAACACCTCTCTGGCCATGTCTATGATATATGCCTTGTGTGCTAGTGCTAAACATCTCATGTGGAGATTGGCGCGTGTGTCCCACGTACTGCGCAATGTCGCGCATAATGCAGCGGTATTTTAAACGGCCCATGTGACAGGCTTTCGACCAATAGGAATGGGTAAACTGTCTCAGGTGTTTATAAATAACCAGTGACGACCCCAATAACAACCTTATTTAACAATGGGGGGGGGGAACTACAAAATCTTTTTAATCCTAGCAGGGTCCTTTTTTTGTATGAAAGGCAAAAAGGTTTAAATTTGAGAAAAATCGTGCTGTGATGCTCTCTGACTTTTACAATTTCTTGGTATATTTCAGGTCAGCCCAGTCAATAGGCAGTTTACAGCAGCTTTTGTATTTTTCGGTCAAATCTGAGAAGTGGGTACGTCCTCAACAAAAAAATTATTGTGAATGGATTTGGATTTTGCACGGGGAAAGTTTTGGATGATTGGCTTTGAGGAATTCTTTACTTAACCAGAGGTATACGCGTACTTTTGAGTTTCCTTGGGCTGTAATTAATTACCTTACTGAAAAGGTTTAATAATTGTTATCCCCATGGTAGATAGAGTACAGCTAGACCTACCTAAGCACCAATGTCCTTGGCATTTTCATTTCTTGTTGTTTGCCTTCTTGTGTACGATAGATTAAAATATACAGATTTCCAAAGGGTAAAGTTTATCATCGACCAATTTTGCAGTCACAAGTAAAGAAAACATTCAAAACTCATGTGACTGAAAAAGGAACATTTCAACACAAGTTGTTGGGTTTTTTTTGTAATAATTGTACTGAAACTGTGGAAACTAATGAGCTAGTGAAGAATGGTATAAATAAAATTAAAGACAGCCAGGTGATAATGAACTGTTTAAAACAAAAACTAAATGCAAAAAAGAGGGAAACAGATTAAAACAATATTCTCAAGCACAATGTTACTAACTTGTTTACAAGTCACTGAAGGCACTTCAAGTCACTGAAGGCACTTACATTTTCATAATCGGTTACTCACGTTACATTTTAGTAACGTGAGTAACCGATTTTGTGCGTCTTGTTTATCATACATAACACATTTTCTGGATGTCATCTTTGGTGCTTAGGTATAGGTCTAGGTCTACTCTATCTACCATGGGGATAACAGTTATTAAACCTTTTCAGTAAGGTAATTACAGCCCAAGGAAACTCAAAAGTACATCAAAAATGTAACGTGTGTAACCGTGGAATTGCCCTTAACCACATCATTAACTGGCGTACAGGAAGCAGACTTTCTAGAATTTACTGCAAGAATTTTGATTGGTACAATTCCCCCAACACGGAACTACTGGCATTGTCCTACCAACAAACTAGAAACCAGTGACCCATCAAGCCAGCACCTTCATAGAATGCCTTCCATTCAAGTTCATGACTGGCCTTTTCTTCTGCATTGTCAATTACTAATACAATATACCATGCCGTCAGAGTTCAGAGAAGCCAGGAAAAGTGCAGCTATAAATACTACCTTGTTCAGGGGAGCCATTTGATATGCAAATTCAGCTGGCTGGGAATTTTCTCTTCTAAAATGGTATTTGTTTGACCCAAAATGGAGGGTCCGATTTATGTAATGGTTTGTAAGTGTAGTTCCTGAATCTTTTCTTTGCTATGTGAATGAGGATTGAGCATGAACATGCTGGGGAATGTCATACTGCATCATGGGGGATCCAGGAATTTTTGCAGGTTTTTTTTTTTTCATCAGCAAATCAATGCTGAAATGTAGACAGGTTTTTTTTGTCCAGACACTTGGCTCAGCAAAATCAATAGGTGGTGGTGGTGGGGGGGGGGGGGGGGGGGGGGGGGGGGGGGCTCGTACCATACTTTCAATGGGGGCACTGTTCAAATCCGACAATTATTAACACTTTATTACAGGATAGTGTACAAATACCCCAGTAACCCAGCAGGCTAATGTCCCTATTTTGGGTACAGGTGTATTGGCATTATTATCTAATTTTTTGGCATTATTTTTTATGAATTTCTTTGGAAACATTTTTTTGTGACAGAGTTGGTTTTTTTTTGGTTTTTTTGACACCCCCCCCCCTTGGATCCGCCCTGGATCCGGGCCTGTGCATCTCCCTCTGCCAATTAAATCAAAGCAGTCAATAAGTAAGATTAATCATCACAGGGAGGAAACCATGCAGATTTTTTTTTTCTTTCAAAAATGACGCACAGTAT